TTTTGACTGCCTGATGTGTTCTGCTAGGCACCCTGGAGGGAGAGAAGGGAAGGTAAGGAGGCATCTTTTTTCCCCCTTTCCACTCCAAATCCCTGGTCTTTCGGAGTTTGGCACCCAAGAGCCAGTTTGACCAGTTCCTGCCCTGCCCAGCTTGGGCAACTGTCGAGGGCCTCTTCTGGTGTAACCCTGCTGGTCCTGCTCTTGTATTTACCTTTCATTGATAATCAACTCTTAGATAATGAGTAGGTCCTTGTACATTTGAAGGCTTGTCTCACGGGAGGTGGCATGGCGTAGAGGGAAAGCGTGTGAGACTGGGGAATCAGGAAGGGTTGGGTTTGAATACTGGCCTGACTGCTCACCGCGTGTGTGACCTTGGGCTTGCTTTACCTGCTCAGTCCTTAGTTTCTTCATCTGTAAAATGGGATTGTTAGGATTAAGTGACAATGTGCAGGAGTACCTAGAGTACCTAGCAGCCAGGCCTGGTGCAAATTAACTCTAAATATACGTCAGTTTCCTTTTTCCTTCCTCAAGCTGTGCTTTGCCGAAGCACTAGATTGATGGTGGGAGTTACAGGCTCTATCTCTATTCAGCTCCCTGAGGAAGTCATTTCCCCACCTTGAGCCTTAGAGGACTCATGTGGCAAATGATGAGGGATCACCAGAACCCTTTAATGGTGTTGCTCTGTGAATTTATGACTCTGTAGTTAGTCATTTCTGTGCTCCTTGTTACTCTTATTAGAAGATGGGAAAGGGAGTAGGAGACACTACTAGGGTAAAATTTTCTATTTCAAAACAAGAGATAATGTTGCTTCTGGAAAAGGCTTACTGCGGGAGGTTTGTCACATCTCTCTGTGGGCCTCTCAGCTCCTTCCTTGGTGATGGAAAAGAATAAACCCTCCGCTTTCCACTCATGGGGAGCGGGAGCTTCTTTGAGGCCCTTGGTGGCAGAAGAACACTTGAGCAAGAAGGAAGGTGTTGGCAGTGTCTTCATAAAAACTGTCAGTCATTTAATGGGAACCTGCCCTGTGCCCTACAGTGTTTCGGAAAATTGAGAATGCTTCTGACTTACAGACATCCTCACGTCCAGTGGCTGCCAGCCATGCGTGGCACTGGAATCCCCTTTTCCGCTGCCCTGCCCTTCCCTTCCTCTCTGTTTATTGCTGGTGCAGCAACCAAGGTCACCCTGTGGGCTGCCGCTGGGCGTGGCTTTCTCACCAGCTGCTGCATCTCTAGTGCGGAGTCAGCAGGACCAGCCCATGTGTGCAGCAGTGGTCCTCAAAATGGGCAGCACCGTGGAATCACTGGGGTGCTTGAAAAACATAGAGGTGCATGGGCCCTACCCCAGATCAGTTAAAACCCTGGGAATGAGGCGTGGGTATTAGTTTGTTTAAAAATATCTGCAGGTGGGTCCCATAAGCAGCCTTCCTACCAGCCTGTCTTCACTCCCCACCCGCTCAGATGCTCTCATTTCAGATGCTTCCCTTGACCCTCTTGTTGTTGGGGCTCAGTCCTTTTATGCCCCCTCCACCCGATTCGTGTCCCTCAGGAACCCTGCCTGGGGTCATGGAAACTGCAAACTCAAGTGACAGCCCAGTTCAAAACATGAACGAGTCTTTCCAAAGAAACATCGTCCGCCAAAGGTGGATGGGAGGTCTTTGGTACTGAGTGTAGCAGGCTTTTAGGGACTAGTTTGGGAACTTAACCACTAAGCAAGTAGTGTTTTTGCTTAAAAATTGAGGAGTCCAGGGGCGCCTGTGTGGCTCAGTTGGTTAAGCGTCTGACTCTTGGGTTCTGTTCCCGTCATGAGCTCGGGGTCCTGGGATTGAGCCCTGCATAGACCTTTGTGCTCAGCAGGGAGTCTGCTTGGGATTCTCTCTCTCCTCCCTCGGTCTCCACCCTCCTGCCGTGCCTCCAGCTTGTGCACTTGTGCATTCTCTCTCTCTCAAAATAAATAAACCAATAAATCTTTAAAAACTAATAATGAGTAAATAAAAATTGAGGAGTCTGCTATGTAGAGGAATAAGATTCTACTCATGTCCTTCATGTGCTTAAAATCTAGTAAGAAGAGACTTAAATTTGCAGAAAAATGTGCTCCAATATAGAGTCGAGGGCTAGATTTTGTCATGTAGATCAGTTGTTCTCAGCCTTGGGCCTGTGTAGGGATCACTTGGGAACACTTAAAAAATGTGCATGTTCTGACCACATTCCATTTGACTCTGATTCAGTGTTTTTTTTCGGGTGAGGCCTGAGCCTGGGCCTTTTCAAACAAGCTCCCCAGGAGAGTGTGATGTGCACCACAGCTGGAGAAGGATTGGTGCACAGGAATTCAGAGAGGGGAGAGCTCAGGAACAGACTGCAGGCTGGAGAAGCTTTGTGAAGGTGGATCCTCTTGTGCTTTCCCTGGAAGGGACGGGGCCGCCTCCTGGAGAGGCAGCTTTGACACGCTGCCCCACCTCAGGTGCTGTTTCTTGGCGTTCCTGGCCTGACGACTGGCTGCCGAGGTCCTCAGCTCAGACATGTTGGTACATTCTTCCTTGACCAGGAAGTTTCTGCCTGGGGCTGCCACCCTGGCAGCGAGCTGTCGCCATTAATCTCCCAGGTCCAGTAATTGGAGTGGACACTGAGCCGTCACTCTGGATCAAGGCTCAGGGATCCTGGGGCTGTTTTCTCCTGTCATTCATTCCCCCCCCCCCCCCGCCCAACCCCCGGCATTTACAGACACTCGTCATATTTTCCTGGCTTCTCAGGGTGGAGAGGGAGGTACATGTGAGCCTAGGAGCAGACTGTGGGGTGGGTGGTGGGTGAGGGAGGTGAAGGCGCCCCTGCCCCCAGGTAACTGGGCAGGAGAACCGTTCCTGTGTCTTTCTGGAGCGGGAGAGCTAAAGGGGGGGCAGGGGACCGAGGGTGGAGCAGCCCCGGAGGGTGGAGGGGATGAAGTAGTTGAAATCTGATCGGCTCATATCTGTCATTACGTGTGGGTTAGTGTCCGAATGGTTCCCCAAATCCCACTTCATCACTCATAATTCCAGATAGGGCTCTGGAGGCCTTTGGGCTGTGGTTTGGGGTGATGAGAGTGAGTTGTGCAAGACCAAGCCCTGAGACTTGGCGTCTGCATCTTGTAATTAGTGTTGTGGGTCGGGGAGCAGAGCTACCATGGGCTAGGCTCTCCTTACGGATTTTCATGTAATTCTCACAACAAGCCTGTGAAACAGGGTTTACTGTCTCCCCCTTTTATAGGTAAAGAAACTTGCCTACAGTCATGTGGCGATAATGTCACAGCTAGAATTCTAACAGCTCAAGCTTTTAAGATTTTATCATGCTGCTTTTGGGGCATTGGGTTGAAGTCAGGCGACCTGAGCTTTATAGTTCAGGTTCTTCCACCAGTTATGTGACCTTGGACCAATCCCTTCCCTTTCCTCCAGTTCCAAATGGGGGCTGGGAGTGGGCCAGGTGCTCAGCGGTCCGACAGGCCGGTGGTCGTGTGTGTCCTTGCAGGCAGCCGTACTGTGTGCAGAGCTGTCTGCCCAGAGCAATTCGCGTTGTCCTGGGGGCAGTCTTGGTTGCTCAGGGGTCTTTTGGGGTGCCTGTGGCTCCTTTGTGGACTCTGATTTAGGGGCACAGAGCCTCTCTCTCTTTACCTGAAAGAGGTTTCCTTAAAAGTCAACAAAATGCAATCACTGTATATTTGAAAAAAAAGTGTAAATCCGATCATCCATATTTGAAATGCTAATCTGGCTTCTCGAAGGCAGCATTTAGATTTATGGCCTCATTTTGTTAAAAAAAAAAAAAGAAGGGGGGTAGGGGGGCAACATCCTTTCTGAATTTCTTACTCTACAATTTAAGGGCTCTGAGAATCCTTTTATCGTGGTATCATCCCCATCCATTTTCTCGTGTATAGAAAATTTCACATATTGCATTTGCTTCAAGTGATGTGTGTTAATTTAGACAATTGGGCCTAGAAGGGCTCTTCCCTACCGACTAAGATACTTCTTAAGGGCAGTCTCCTGGAATGACAGGTCATTTCACTGCTAACCCTTTAGGAAATTTACTAAATTCTCATTATTCAAGATTCATCTCCCTTACTGCTTTGAGATAACCCCAGGTAACTGGGGGCTTCAAGGTTATTCTTGGGGGCTTATGCAACAGCTTAAGGGGCACCAGGACTGTGGACAGGTTCTCAAGGTCCATGGGGGTGTGGATTTTCTAATTTATAAATAACTCCACAGCTGAGGTTTCTAATCTTGTTCATTTCTTTGGAATGCTATCATCCCTGTGTCTTCATTGCTCCATTTCTGACAGTGGAGAAATTAGAAAGCCAAAGAATATTGCCCGTTGAGGTGCCTGTGAGTTTCTTGCTGTTTTAATAGAACATTGACTTAGCGTTTTATGGCGTACAGACATCATCCCAGCTGGTACTCATAATAATCTTGTGAAATAAACTGAACAGCTTTATTTTTTTTATTTCTGTATTGTGTGAATCAGAACCCTGTTAATTACAAAAAGAATTTGAAGCGGCATAAAGCAGGACCAAGCCAGTAAGGAGGCCAGAGCTGTCAGGAAAGAAAAAATATAATAGCTAATACTTGTTGAGAGTCCTCTATGTACCAGGGATGACTCCAAGTGCCCTTAAATGTATTAGTTCATCCTATAAGTGCCTTGTGAGGTAGGTACGGTTATTATCCCTATTTTTTACAGAAAGGGAAACTGAGGCTTAGTGGTTAAGGAACTTATTCACTGTCAAATGGTGGAACTCACACTTTTTACCACCGTCCTAGAACACACCCCTCCCTAGTAAGTAAGGCCAAGGATAAGGTCCATGCCAACATAGCCATGGCAGGTTATCACCATTTCACGGAGGAAACTGAGCTAAAGAATGTGGGTAAGTGGCTTGCTCAAGGTTGCAAAGCCAGGACTAGAGTCTTGGTCTTCTGTCTCTTAATGCTGTTTCCACTGCCTCACATAGCATTATGCTTCTTATAATGAAAAACATATGTCTTTCAGAACCTGGCAATGGGGGCAGGAGCCGTTGGATCTTTGCAGCTGACCTACATCTCGAAGGTAATGTTCGCCTGGAGCTCTGAGGATTCGCGTCCTCTAAGTGGGTTTAGTATCTAAACGAGAACTGTCAAATTCTTTGAGTATTAGCATTTGGATGTGTTGCATGGGCAGTGAAATGCTCGCCGTCCTCCCTTTGGAAGCTTTGCTGTTGACCGGCGCTGGGTGGAGTGTGTTTAACAGGTTCTTGGAGGGTGAGCCTGAAGCCTCTTACTCCTGGGACACATCAGTCAGTGATGCTCCCCGCTCCTGCCAAGGAGGCATAGGTGGTGGGGGTAGGAGTTGGGCGTGACCTTTTTTCATCATTGAGGCAAAAAGGAGTACAAAACAACTGTAAAAACCCAATGACTATAGAAGATTCTCCCAAGGGGTATTGTTCAACAGGAGCGGCTCAGGAAGGGTCGGGGCTGCGCTGGATTATCTGTCACCTGGACGGGATGACTGTGGAGGAAAGGCTAGGAGAGCCCCGGGAAGGCCCTCAGTTGTGCCAGGGAACTATTCAGCAGCCGGATGATGGCTGGAGAGTCTGGCAGGTGGGCTGACAGGCTGTCCCCGGTCCGATTAGTGCAGACGGGGCAAGAGCAGGCCCTCTTCGGAGCTGAGACCCGGGGGCGGGCGGCGGCGGCAGCGGTGGTGGGCTGGTTGATGATGCCCATACGTAGCTGCTGAATTTAGCTTCTTGTAGCGGCCCCTCTCTGGAGCAGGCTCCAGTGCTGACCTGTGATGCAGCAGAGATAAAAAAAAAAAAAAAAGGGCCGGGGATTTAGAGCCCCGCCAGAAAGAGGAACTCTTCGTCCAGCGAGAAGAGCCAGGTGGCGCCCAGCCAGCGCGAAGGTTCCGGAAGCCCTGCTCTCCCCACACACCCCTCACTTCAGGCCTCTTGGGGATCTCTGCTTCCTTGCCCACGCTCTCCCACCCTCAGGGGTTGAGACAAGGTGGGGAGACCCTGATCTGAGGGACCACTGGCTCCTTGGCCTTGCGAGCTTCGGGAACCCTTGCGTCCAGCCTCCCATTGCGCCTGGTGGGGTGGGGGCGGGGCAGAGTCGGAGGTGGAGGCGGCTGCAGGGGCTGCAGGCAGTGGCTGGCAGACACAGCTGGGCACCAAGGCAGAAGACGCAGGGCAGGGTTTGAGCGGATTAGAGAGAGGAGATCATGACCTCGGTGGGGAGGGGGCAGGGCTTAGAGCGAAGCTTTGCTAGCACAGCTGTGGGCAATTTGTGCTGGCCTTGCGGTGAGAGATGTGGCTGCCTCTGGGGCCAGGCGGGCCAGAGGCCTGGGCCTTCCCCTCTCCTGTCTGGTTTTGCTGTGGGCTCATGAGGTCTTCCTCCAGGAGGTTTGGAGGAACAGAATCGGAGAGGGGGCGCAGAGAACCTCATTATTAGTGAAACTCCAAACCTTCTCCTATTGGAGAGGGTTTGGGAGACTTCGGGGAAGAGTGAATACCATCTCCTGCTGAATCGTGATTTATAAATGCAGCTCAGGTGAGGGTTTTTAGAATTCTCAGCTTTGGAGGCTGCCTCATTTAGGAAGGATGGTCCTGCCTTTTGGCCCTTCTCGGGAGATGCAGGCCTGGGTGGGTGTTTCTGCAAAGCCCACAGCTGCCCCAGGATCAGGTTACACGGAGTGGAGAGCCTTTAACTCCTACCTGACCCAGTGCCAGAAAGCAGGGGTTTTCCCAGAAACACATTTAGCAGTGCTACTGGCATCAAATTCAGCATTCCAGCTTATTTCTTGTTAACCCCTGGGTAGTCCCTCCCAGGGTAAAGTGTTTCACCCCAGTGTCGACCTGGCTCGCAGTGTATGTGTGGTCCCTGCTCAGGGGTGCTGCTCCATAGCTCCTTCTTGAGGGCTAGTGTTGGGACACTGAGTTCCTTCGGAAAGGCCAACAGAGATGAAAATCCTTGACTTGATGTCCTCCAGGGCATTGATGGCAGCAGAACCAGGTTTGGGGTTCTCATGGAAGGTGGGCTTCGTGCCACCACCTTCCTACCTCGCCTGATGGCTCTTCTCTTCTATACAGCGAGCCCCAGTGTCCCACCCCCGGCTGTGTCCTGCCCTGTCAGGGCCTTGCCCTCGGTTAGTTATAAGGAAGACCTTCCTAGAACACTGGTTCTTAACCTCTTGTGGTGGTGGTGGTGGTGGTGGTGTTGGCGGAGATCGGTGGTGGTCACTGATCCTTTTGAGTGTTGGATGAAGAGCATGGACTCCTTTTCCAGGTAAAGTATATATGTGTCTACAACACCCTGGTTTTGCCTATAATGTCAGGGCTCATTGACCTCATGAGCTGGTCTAGAGACTACTGCTTAGAACCCTTCCAGTCATTCTGTGTAACTGACTGCTGCTTTCTCCGCTCTTGATGCCACCTCATGGGGCAGAGGCGCCCCGGACACTGAGGCAGAGCTACCCCAGAGCTTCAAGACCCTATTCTGCTGCTGCAGCTTCTGCCAGAGGGGCCCCAGCTCCACTTCCGGCCAGGGGCAGACAGGATGGGGCTGGCTAGCAGTGCCCTGTGACCGAGGAGTTTGCTGCTCCTGTGGTCTGTGTTTGATCTGATAAGAGCAAGTTCCTGAGAGTCTGTTGAGCTGTCGAGTGGCCTTGTCTGCGTCACTCTATGGTTGACCCGTGCCCATTCCGCCCCTCACATCCTGACCTCATTGCTTGCATAACCCGGGACCCAGCAGTCAACCACTGCTATGCAGCTACTTAACTGTGGCCACCTCGGGGCAGGCAGATGGTAGCATTTGTCCGCCCTCACTATAGCTGGTCTGTGAGCCATACTTTTTCAGGATCTTCTGTTCCTTCACTACATCTGAAGGAGGCTGCACAGTCTGGTCTGATCACCAGCGTGAGGTGGGGTGGAGGCCAGAGGGCTTATACCTCCCAGGGGAGGAGGGATTCTGCCGCTGAGGTCCCCAGGATATCAGGAGGCGGCCAGAGCTACCTTTCCATAGTAAATGAGGGCCATACCTTGGCCCGTCTCCCTGAGGGACACAGCACAGGTAGATAGGATTTCATTTTTCTCTTTTGCCATATTCTGTGACGATAAGAAGGAAACTAGTAATTGCTGTCTGGCTTTGCTAATTGGGAAGCTGATCAGAGACCCTGAGGGTCTTACTCTTGCTAAACGGCCTACAGGGCAGAACTAGGACTGATGTCTGGTTGATTCAGCAAGGAGCTAGCTGCTTTGCCAAATAATCCTTCTGTGGTTAGGCATGAGGCAAATTATGGATGTGCATGCATGTAATCACCCATGTCCCCTGACTGAAAACTGGAAAAACCTATAAAAACATGAAAAGCCAGGTGATCGCTTAGGTTCAGTTGTTGTAATAAGCATGCCAGTAGCATTCCCGCAGCATAGGTTGCTAATAAGTTGTGGTCAACGTGGACCATTTGTCATCCAACCTGGTGAAAAGCCAGTGGTGTTTTCTCTGGTCAGTGATAAACGTCATTTTCTGGGAGAAAGGGGTGAGTCTTCTAATAAGCCAGTGAGGATCTCAAAGTGCCCAGCTTTTTAAAGCCATTCTAAAGCTTGCAGTAGGAAGGAAGCCGTGAGATAGGTGGGTTCTGAGGGCCAGGCTGCTGTCTGCTGGTCATGGCTACACAGGAACCGAGGGTAGGCCATGCAGGTGTTGTGGGCACAGGGGACCTGCAGGAGGAACATGGGTGCCGAGGGAAAGGGCAAGAAAATGAGTCACTGACAGATCAGGACATCACACACAAGCAAGATAAAGGCATATGCTGTGGTGCAGATGGAATTCCAGGATCCCAAACCCAAGAAACAAGGTAGCACAGGGGCCTGAACTTATGAAGTCATGGAGCTCTGGGGAGTGGTTTCTGGGAGTGGTGAAGACATGCCTGAATTTAGATAGTCTGTGACTGAACTCAGGATAGGTGGGCTCACCTTGGCCTGAATTTTTATGTTTTTCAGGACTGTGTAAAGGCTTTCATTAGGCCCTAAAGGCCTCCATCTCACATCATGGTGAATATATCAGAATATAACCATATCCCTCATTAAATAGAATTGGCTATAAAATATTCTAACGTAACATAATAAAAATAAAAAAAATATTCGAAAGGATTTCAGTCATCTTACTTTTGGAATGATTTGGTTGAGTCCCTCATTTAATTCGTGATTGGCTATATTTCTCGGCAATCATCTTGCATATCTAAGGATTCTTGTAAACTAGGAAAATCAAAGCTACTAATTTTTTCATATGTAATGAGATTTTTGTGATTGTTTAATCAAAACATTAATGAAGTCGACTTAATGTGACATCTTGTAGGCACTTAAAATCCTTATCGAAGAGGTTGATATAATGTTATATAGACATTTAATGATTTATTTATTGATGTTGACTATGCTATGTTCATTTTGTATGTTGGAGACCAGGCATTTTTTTCAGGTCTCACATAAGTAGGAGAAGGCCCTTGCTTGGAAAGGGGACTGAGAGAATGTTGTCCACAGGAGGATTATGACAATGTGGGGAATATTTCCTAACCTAGGGCCTTGGGGGTGCCTCCTTAGCAATCCCAGGTAAAGTGGTGGAGGCCTGTTTCAGGGAGTTCAACTTAACTCCATCAAGGGTAGTCACCTCTTGGCATATGAGGGAATGTGATTTGTTTTCCTTTATTCATTCAGCATGTTTGAACCAGAGTGAAGTAGATTCACCTATGCATATAGTCAGGAGTGTACACGCAAGGGGTAGGATTGAAAAAAACAAAATGAAATACAACAGGAGCTATAAAAATATTCCTACTTTCTTCTGTTCCCTTCCCTTTAATGCATAGGTATGCTCTGATTCCTTGGGCCCCCTCTTTTTTTCAGGTTTAAGCAGTCAGGGTACATATAAAGGACATTGATCCATGTGTCCAAATGCATGCTGCCTGACCTTTCTGTGAGCTCTAATTGGAATCTGTGCATTTGTAGCCATACCACCTTTAATTTGGAGAACTGTTTAGGGAAGGGGTCAGTGGTTGAGAGAGGAGTGGAATCTTCCTAGTGTGAATGGGCCAAGTACGGGTTGTGTGGTCCAAAGAGAATTTTGTCGGACTGGGTAGTTGTTTTTTTTTTAAAGATTTTATTTACTTATTTGACAGAGAGAGAGACAGCGAGAGAGGGAACACAAGCAGGGGGAGTGGGAGAGGGAGACGCAGGCTTCCCGCGGAGCAGGGAGCCCGATGCGGGGCTCGATCCCAGGACACTGGGGTCATGACCTGAGCCGAAGGCAGACGCTTAATGACCGAGCCACCCAGGTGCCCCTTGGGTGGCTTTTCAAAGTGTTTTTGCAAAGATGAAGATTAAGGTAGATGGCAAGATAGTGGTTATCCCTTGAGGGGTGGGGATGGGATTCTATCAGGGAGGGGTACACAAGGGCTTCTAAGAGATAGGACTGATAATGGCCTATTTCTTAATCTGAACGGTGAGTACAGGGTTTCTACTTAATTTTTATTCTTTAGAATGTTTATGTATGTTTTATATACTCTTCTTTGTGCGTAAAGTTTCACAGCAAAAAAAAAAAGAAAAACTTAAAAAAAAAAGTGCTTTACAACCGTCTTAGAAACATGTTCTAGTTTCTTTTATTTTTTATTTGGTTTAGGTGAGCATAGCTACTCCGAAGCAGAAACCCAAAACTCCATTTTGCTTTGGTAAGTACCGAACTGGGGACTGGGTTTTCTGAACACTCCTGCAGCAGCTTCCTCTTTGTGCGCAGACGGTCCTGTGATCCCATGTGACTTGCCCCCTGTGTGTGGGCGTGACTTCGGTCATGGCAACGGGCCTAGCTTTCCTTGGTCTCGCTGTGAAGATAGTTAAAACTGTAAGACGGAGGTACGGGGACCAGCGACGGTTCTGTTTTCCTGACTCCGCAGGTCAGGGTCCAGGGTATCTTCTGGTAGTTTCTGGGAACCCCCTTCTCAGACGCTCAGGAAAGGTGGAACAATAGAAAAGGAGTATCCTGTTGAGCATCTCAGCATTGCCACATGAGTGCCAGAGTTGGGAGTGACACAGGAAGCAGGGTCACTCAGTGGATGCCCCTACTCATTAAGTCATCATTTGTTATTTGGTTCCTACTGTGTTCTCAGGAATGTGCTAAGTGCTACAAGCAGATGCTAACGAGTAGCCTCTCTTGTTTATCTAGGGTGGTCCTGCATGTCAGCCCCATGAAGCAAGGCTGTCCCTTTGTTTTGTCACTGCTGGTTCTGTCACTGTCAAAAACACACTGTTTTGTACCGTGGTTCCTGGCATATAGTGGATGCTCAGTAATATTTGCTGAATGAGCGAATGAACTCATGAATTCTCTGTCTACCCCGTGATGCTCGCCTCCTATAGTTCTGGCTTATTTTTGCTAGGAGAATAAAATTGTCACTTGAGCTGTCTTCTCTCCCGACTTCGGGTTGGTTCAGGCTTCTCTGGTGTTCTCGTTGTCCCATTTCTTTCAAATATCATTGCTAAGCTCAGAAATGACTATCTCAGATTTTGTGGTCAGCAGATCTAAACAAGATAAGTAATGAACCCAGAAGTAAAATGATTGACCTCATGGAGTGCTCAGAGGAAAGAACAGGTTGAGAATGAGGTCAGGGTCACAGATTTGATCTCAGGCAAGCTTTGTTCCATTTTCCGACCACAGGCAAGACTCCCAAGCCAGGCCAGTTGTGCCAGTGGAAACAAGGAGCACTGGGTCCAAAATTATATCTGTATCATCATGACTCTAAATCGGCTAGCGCCTCTAAAAACAGTTGAAGCTTGTGTCTTGTTGATGGCGGGCGGACTAGAAGCCTCATCCCTGTACAACAGCACACGAAGGGGATGGTTTTAAAACATGAACAGGTGTTGTTCTCGTGGCTAATGGAATAATTCACACTTTTAAAGAGAGAGCAACTGTAGCCTGCTGCTTCCCAGATATTCATGCAGCTGACTGCACCATGGCAGATGTCTTCAGTGCTCTGTGAGGTTCTCCCCCTTGCTACTTCAAGCACCTTAGTTTTGTGGTGGCTTTTTGTCTTGCATGTGTTCTGACCTGGGTTTTTCTCTTTTCTTCCCCCATGACTACTGCAGTCATCAATGCCCTCTCTCAGAGGTATTTTCTTCAAGCTAATGACCAGAAGGATCTGAAGGACTGGGTGGAAGCCCTGAACCAAGCCAGCAAGATCACCGTACGTACGATTCCTTCTTCTTTCTGGTGGCACTCAATGCCTCTTTTCAGCACGTGGCCTGTTTGTGGTGGGGAGACACTCAGCCAACAGCAGGGGCTTTCCCAGGAGCCTGTTGAGACCCAGTTCCCCCTCCCTCTTCTTATACCTTCACTGACAAACCACAAGTTGAACTGAGAGAGTTTGAGTTTGAATCAAGTTCAAGGGGAAGTATATGTAGTGTCCCCTTGGTGCTTCCTGGGAGGGCTCCTGGTCAGTCGTGTTTTGGGTCATTCTGGCATGCTGATTCAGAACGTGGTGGGATTGGAAAATGGATTGCTGACTATGAGAAGCAGAGTAAAGGGAAAAGCATATAAAGAGGGAAGTCAGAACTTTACTGGCTTGGGAGCAGGGTAAGGGAGTACTCTTTTTCCTTTAAGAGCTTTAAGAGGTTGCCTAGGGCTTGGTCCAGGCCACCCACCAACCTGTCCTGAAAAAGCTTTCCATTTGACAGCATCACTGAGCTGGTTCACTGACTGTTCTATGAATACTTTCATTTTCTTTGACTTGCTGGTGAACTCCTTTCTTCTTCCTTAGAAATACAGAAAAGGGGGACTCCTGGGTGGCTCAGTCGGTTAAGTGTCTGCCTTTGGCTCAGGTCATGATTCCAGGGTCCTGGGGTCGAGCCCCACATCAGGCTCCCTGCTCAGCGGGAAGCCTGCTTCTCTCTCTCCCTCTGCCTGCCGCTCCCCCTGCTTGTGTTCTCTCTCTGTCTAATAAATAAATGAATCTTAAAAAAATACAGAAAAGGGAAAAGGGTAGGAAAGAGAAGAGGGAAAACTTTATGTTTTGGGAAAAAAACTAGACTTTTCATCAATAGTAGGCAGACTTGTGCCATGCAAACCGTGGTTTGTATGCTGAGAAGATTGATATTCTTTTTAAATTTATTTTTATTTTTTTATTTTAAGTCTTTATTTTTAATTCTAGTTAGCATACAGTGTTACATTAGTTTCAGGTGTATAATACAGCAATTTAACACTTCATACATCACCCTCTGCTCATCCTGACAAGTGCGCTCCTTAATCCCCATCCCCCGTTCCCCCACCCACCTCCCCTCTGGTAACCATCAGTTTGTTCTCTATAGTTCAGTCTGTTTCTTGCTTTGTCTCTCATTTTTTCCCCCTTTGTTTTATTTCTTAAATGCCACATGTGAGTGAAACCATACGGTATTTGTCTTTCTCTGGCTTATTTCCCTTAGCATAATACTCTAGTTCCATCCATGTCGTTGTAAATGGCAAGATTTCATTCTTTTTAAATTTTTTTAAATTTTATTTTTTAAAAGATTTTTATTTATTTATTTGACAGGGAGAGATCACAAGCCGGGGGCGGGGGAGGGACAGAGGGAGAAGCAAACTCCCTGCTGAACAGGGAGCCCAACACAGGGCTTCATCCCAGGACCTGGAGATCATGACCTGAGCTGAAGGCAGATGCCTAACCGACTGAGCATCCAGGTGCTCCAAGATTTCATTCTTTTCTATGGTTGAGTTATATTCCATTATATATATGTATCCAACTTATTCTTTATCCATTCATTACTTGATGGACACTTGGGCTGCTTCCATATCTTGACTATTGTAAATAATGCTCCTGTAAACATAGAGATGCATGTATCCCTTTGAACTAGTGTTCTTGTTTCTTTGGGGAAATGCTCAGTAGTGCGATTGCTGGATTGTAGGGAAGTTCTATTTTTAACTTTTTGAGGAACTTGTTTTCCAGAGTGGCTGCACCAGTTTGCATTCCCACTAACACTGCAAGAGTGTTCCCCTTTCCCCACATCCTTGCCAACACCTGTTGATTCTTGTGTTGTGGATTTTAGCCATTCTGACAGGTGTGAGGTGATATCTCATTGTAATTTTGATTTGCATTTCCCTGATGATGAGTGATGATGAGCATCTTTTCATGTGTGTGTTGGCCATCTGGATGTCGTCTTTGGAGAAATGTCTGTTCATGTCTTCTGCCCATTTTGTAATTGGAAGATTGATTTTCTGTATCATACAGTCAGAAATGCTTACATTCTAGTCATTTCTGATAGTAACCATTATGTACTGGGGCAGATTATTCTCCCAAATACCTCAGGGTTTCTGTGAATAAATTAATAGAAGAAATCTGTACACCTATTCAACTCTTGTGATGCCAGACCCAGGCAGAGTACAGTTCTGTCATTGAGGTGGTCTGGTTTGCTAGCTTGCTATTTTGACAAACCTTGGTAAACCTGGGAAAAGAGAGAAAACTGAGGGGAGGGAGGGGGATTGCAGCTAACTCACATTCCTTTGCTTGTGCACACGGCTCTAGAATGCTGAGTTTAGTACAGGGTTTCTTCGTTCACGGTCGGGTCTTCACCCTTCTGTATCTTATACAGTTTTGGCCTTTCATTCAATGTCTAATACTTTATTCTCTTTCAGCCTTGCCTCCTGGCTTTCCTCCTCTGTTCCTGTCTGGGACACTTGGCTACCCAGCCTGTGAGGTGGTGGGGGCCTTTCAACCCTCATAGGGTTGCTCTAAGCAGTGAGTTCCCCCTGCCTCTTTTCTGGCCCCTTGGAACAGAAGTTATAAGCCACAGTAGTGGGAAGGAACATGGGGGTGCCCAGAGGCTGGGGAGTCCAGAGGCTTGCTGGAATGTCAAAGCCTGCTGCAGAGGGGCACTCTTTCTCCTAATCTATTTGTGCCCTGGAAGGATTTACTCCTCTCTCCACTGTCATATTGTCCTGTATCTTGTGTCCTTCCTCAGGGAGGCTGGGAAGAGGGAGGATGTGGGGCTGGGGCACCACATCCATGGCATGCACACTCCCTTTAGGACACCTTATATACAAATGAAGCATCAGGCACCTTGGGGGATGCAGAGATGAAAGAAAGAACAGATAATGTATTGAGCCAAGCTTTCACAGGTGCTATATTATTCACCCCTCTGACATCACTCTTGTGAGATAAGTGGTTTTACTGCCAGTTTTTAGATGAGAAAAATGGAAATCAGAGTTGTCCAAGGTCTAGAGGTGAGTAAGTGGTAGAGCTGAGATTCAAACCCAGGACCCTGTGACTTCCAAGACCTAGAAGAGTTTATGAAGATATTGAAAAAGAATAACCATTGTAAATTATGTTAGATTACACACCACTTTTACATACGTGGCTTCATTGTAGCTTCATATAAAAGCCTTAAGTAGGAAGGGCAAGCGTTATTATACCCATTTATAAACGGGGTGGCGGAAGTGCCTAGAGATTAAAGTGACTTGCCCAAGGCCAAGGAGCCAGGATGGATCCAGTTTTTCTGCCCACAGATCACTGTTCATTTTGTGCTAAGGCCAATGGGTCCTTGTCATTGAAGAAGTGATTGACATGTACTATTTAAGGAATTGGATTCTCTCAGAGTATTAGTATTCCTATATGAATTTTGTGGTACTACCAGAGCAAATGGGTGGCTCCTTTTCTAGTTTCTGGTGGCTCTGGGCAGTCTGTGGTGTGCTCTGGCTTGCAGCTGCATTACTCCTCTCTCTGCCTCCATCATTGTGTGCCTGTGTGCCTGTGTCCTCTCTTCTTCTGATAAGGACATCAGTCATTGGACTTTGGGCCCACCCTAAACCAGTATGACCTGATCTTAGTTTAATGACATCTGCAAGACCCTATTTCTAAATAAGGTCACATTCTGAGTTTATAGGTGGATAGTTTTAGTGGGACATTATTCCACTTACTACATTTCCCAAAACAGTTGAAAAATGAGCAGTAAAGGTAAAGCACAGCCCCCTGTCCCCAATGGATTATTCCTCATTGCAGTCTAGCCTTGCCTGGTCGGAAGTAAGATGAGTCCCTGTAATTTTCTTTCTTCCTCCCTCCCTCGCTCCCTCCCTCCCTCCGTCTCTCCCTCCCTCCCTCCCTCCCTCCCTCCCTCCCTTCCTTCCTTCCTTCCTCTACACCCAACATGGGGTTCGAACTTACAACGCCATGATCAGGAGTCACATGCTCCACCAACTGAGCCAGCCAGGCATCCCGTGTCCCTGTAATTGTCATTTCACATTGCAAATGAGATCCATACGCTCTCCCCACATCAGAGAATACTTCACAGGTGGATGGAAGAGGTCATACCTTGAATTTAGGCCTCTGGGGATATGGCCAAACCAAAAGAGTGACCTTGTTTTCAAGTCCTGGGGCATAGTTATTGTTGTGTTTGTCCTCCCCAGGCTGGTTCAGTCTCAGGAAGCTCTGGAAAAGCTCTGGGCAGACAGTCAGAAGCAGCCCATGATAACAAGGGCTGACAAGATTCTGAGAGGCACACAACAGCTAAGCTAACATGAATTCCTTTTCTGGCCACTGGGAACTCTAAAGGGCTACTTCCCTCCTTCTTCTTTGCTGGAATTCATTTAGGTCATGTGTGGGGAGTTTCTGTTGTTCCTTGGTGATGATGTCACTAAACATCCCAGCAATAATCAACATCCTCAAAGGAGTCCCATCACACAATAGTGAAGCTCAGGGAAAGAAAGGGTGGCATAAGTGGGTAGTGGGACGTTCAGCAATGGACAGTCAGGCAGGGGAAACTTACTTCATTTTAATGAGCTTTCATTTATCTCATCTATAAAATGGAGAAGATAATGCCTACTTCATAAGATTGCTTGAGATAGAGATCATGCAGCAGAGTGTGGCACATTGCCTGGCGCTGAACGGGGCTCATAGAAGTGGGAACTGCCGTGTGGACAGCTGAAGGGAAAGAGAAGGTGGATTTCTGGCTCCATCTGGAGAGCTGGTGGGCAGAAGTCACCCTTGTTTATGTAAATGGAGTGCACAGTCCAGGAAGAGGAGTGTCATCTTCTTTCTGGGGCTCCAGTGTCATCCCGGAGCTCTTCCTCCTTTGAACAGACATGGAATGGAGTGGTCCTCGGTCTTGTCCTTGACAGAATTTTCCAAGGGCCCTGAATCATGAGCTCTTGAAAGGTCTAGATTCTTACTTAGTTCCTTCTGATTCCTGAGGCTGTAGAAGCAGTGAAGATGTTAGCGTCACTCATGGAGTCTGCAGACCCACAGAGGTGCTGAGTTTGTGTGAAGGACAGGCTCTATGATCCTGTGCATATTGCCCAAGTGGGCAGTTAGGGTCTAGTCTCTGTCCAGTTATTAACCATGACTTTGGGCCATTGACTTGACTGGCTTGGGCCTCTCCTGTTTTCTTACAAAATGAAAGATTTCATCAGAATTGCCAGTATAAAAGAGTGAAGTGAGGAAGGAGGAAGGAAAACAACATAAATGAGGATGAACAGCACCTGACTCGTGGCCTTGGTGGTGAGGAGCAGGGTAGGGACAGTGGCAAACTGAAGAATGTTCTCCATCTAAAGAGAGAAACGCTGCTTGGTTGGAAGTCTGAATTTTTAGGTGAACTATCCCAAACTTTAAATGTAGATTGAAAAACACACTGCATCAGACCAACAAAACACCGTTTGGCCAGAATCTGCCTTCATGCCACCAGTTTGCAATCTGTGGCCTGTGGTGTCAAAGGAGCCATAAAAATTCTGTGATTCTGTGATTGTCTGTGGTGCCCTAATTCTGCCAAGGAGAGGAGCAGAGATACTCTTCAAAAAGGGCTGTGTTTGTAAATGTTAATACCAGTCGTGAAATGTTCGTTAAAGTATTTTGTAATACTTTTGACCCTTGAACCACATGGGTTTGAACTGCATGTGTTTACTTATATGCAGATTTTTTTTACAGGACTGGAAGTGTATTTCTCTTTCTTATGGTTTTCTTAATAACATTTTTTCTCTAGCTTACTTTATGTTTTTTTTAAAGATTTTATTTATTTATTTGACAGAGACACAGCGAGAGAGGGAACCACAAGCAGGGGCAGAGGGAGAAGGAGAAGCAGACTCCCCACTGAGCAGGGATCCCAAAGCGGGGCTCGACCCCAGGACCCTGGGATCATGACCTGAGCCGAAGGCAGACACTTAATGACTGAGGCACCCAGGCGCCCCTCTAGCTTACTTTATTATAAGAATACAGCATATAATACATAGAACATACAAAATATGTGTTAATTTACGATGTTATGTTACCAGTAAGGCTTCTGGTCAATAGTAGGCTATTAATAGTTAAAATTGGGGGGAGTTGAAAGTTATACATGGAGTTTTGGCTGTGTTGGGGTCAGTACCCTTATCCCCTGCGTTGCTCAAGAGTCAACTGTACTTTTATATTTTTGTATTTCTGAAGTTTTTAAGTATATATACTCTGTCATTTGATAAGCACAATGACTCTATGACATGAATATTATTACCCTTTTCATTTTCTACACGGGGCAGTTTTGGCCTAGAGGGAGGTTCAATGATTTGCTGAAGGTCACTGGGTAAGTTAGTGACAGGTCAGGAGTTGGTACTCCAGGTCCTTGGGCTCCGAAGCTCATGCTCCCCTAATTCTGTACCATAGCTCCCGTGTATGTTACCTGTTTCCTCGCCTAGCATGCTCCTCCTTACATCTCTGATTCCTGTTCATCTCTAGGTTACTGTTCCAACATCTCCTCCTCTGGAGACCTCCGCTAACCACTCCCATTTCAAGTAGTGCCCCTGCTGCTGTCTATCTCAGCTCCTGTTTATTTTCTTCACAGCACTCATAGCAATTTGTAATTATTCTGACTGTTCGGCTCTGCGTTTTTTGTCCGTCTCTGCTATTAGAATGTCCATGCCGTGAGGGCAGGACGTGTCTGTTTGCTGTTTTGTCTTTGGTCTGTAGTCAGGGAAGGGCTGGCTCATAGTGGGTGCTCAGTACTTGTGTGTGCATGTGTGTGTGTAGAGCGGGATCTGCTGGCAGAGTTCCTCATGTTCAGGTATGGGTCGATGGAAGGACTGGGGAAGAGAGGAGGTCTTCCTAGAATTTGGTACATTACCTTTTCTCGCCCCTTCCCCAGTGCTTCCCCCCTCCATTTATCCTAAACTGTCTTTCTTCCAGGTACCCAAAGTTGGGAACCTGGCCCTGACTACCGAAGTTATAAAAAGCCTACCAGCTCCTCCAGCCCTAGAGAAGAAGCCGCAGGTGGCCTATAAGACAGAGATCATCGGAGGGGTGGTGGTACACACGCCCATCAACCAGGTGCTGGGGCCCGGGGCTGCCAGGGGCCGGTGGGGCTATGGGAGCATCCATAGTGGGCCAGTGATGGGCATAGAGGAGGTCAGCACAGAGGAAAGATAGCTGGGGGTGGGGGAGCCAGTGCAGTTGGGGTAGTCAAGAAAATCCAGGATGGCGGTGGGTATGAAGAATAGCAGTGCAGAAATCGAGGCCACCGTTACCTTGAGGCTGTGTGGCCAGTATGGTCCTGCACCATATGTGGGAGACTGGCACTTGTAAATCACATGGGAGATGGACCTGGGGAAGGCAGGTGAGCCTGGAAACAAGCCCACTGTCCCTCCTCCCATTAGGGTGTTTCTCCCCTCTTCTGGTTTTTATTCTCAGTCCTTACCTTTCTCCTGGGTCTGCCCAACTTCCCTGAGCCTTGTTCTGTGACATTACCCAGTACAGTGCCTGACAGGAGCACGCGAATGTTCCCTTTCTTGTTTATTTCTTCTTTAATTGCCATCGTGGGTAAAGAGGCAAGAGAGGATTCGCGAGAGAGGGCTGGGTGAGTTACCCGGTTTGCTGCATGAGGAATGAGGGGAGGTGCTAATCCTGACGCTCTTTCCTTGTAGAATGGTGGGGATGGGCAGGAAGGGAGTGAGCCCGGGTCCCACGCCATCCTTCGAAGGTCTCAGAGTTACATCCCCACGACAGGCAGCCGTGTTCCCTCCGGGCCCCCCCTCATTAAGAGCGGCTACTGTGTGAAGCAAGGGAATGTGGTGAGTGTCGGCACTGGGGCTCGAATGAGTCCTGGTGACTCCTGGGGGCCGTGGCTGTGGGCGTAGCACAGGGGGCAGCTGGCTGGCAGGATGAGCTGCCTTCCTTGGCACTCGGCACTCACTGCCTCCTAAACTACCTCCCAAACCGGTGGGAGGTTTGGAACTAAACATTCACCTCTGCATGTTGGAGGCATTGCCCTGATGGGAAGAAGTCTTTGCAGCCCCCTCACCCCGACGTCTGAATGTGGGCGCCCAGCTTCCTTCCGGCTGGGTACCCAGGAGTGTAGAACTAGATAGAACATTCTCCTGAATGCTGGGGCCTCTTTTTAACGTCCTGCTCTTTACTTTTATTTTCAGCGGAAGAGCTGGAAACGTCGCTTCTTTGCGCTTGATGACTTTACTATCTGCTACTTCAAGTGTGAGCAGGTTTGTAGTCGCTCTAGGGCCCTTCTGACAGGTCATGGAAGCAAGAGGCCTGTGAATAACACTCACGTGTGTGTGCGTAATAGAGATGCGGACGCACACATGGGCTTAAGAGGTGCCTCCGTCCCACTTCCATCTCTCTTGTGTGCACATCTTTACATTGATACAGCAACATGGCCTTATCTTCTTCCCTCCTGCTATGCACCAAGCTGCTCTGTGGTCAGAGCCACAGAGTACCTTCTTAGAATTTTTCCTCACTTGATAGTTATTTTGAGACCTTGCCTTGTTTGCAGCCTGGTTTTAGCCAACCAACTCTGACCAGAGAGGTACGTTGGTCAGTCTATCTGGGTTGTGGCATTATGTGGATAGCCTCATTTATCTTTCTTTACTTATTTTTTCTGCCAGGACCGAGAACCACTGCGCACTATATTTCTCAAGGACGTTCTCAAGACCCATGAGTGTCTGGTCAAATCTGGGTAATCATCTGTGCTTATTCTTTTCTGATAAAAATCCCCCATTTGCCTGCTTAAATCTTCATTTACTACCCTTCTGAGGCTCTATTCGAGAACGTTCTTCCATGCACATGACAGGGGCTGACATCTCACCACATCCCAACTGATGCAGCTAAGAGACCATACCGGGCAAGCTCATCTTTTCCCACTACCTTACTCTGGCTCCTGAGGAGATGCGTGGAGCCTATATAATAATTTTCTGGTGGAGAAAAAGAAAGAATATTGGGAAGAAAGAAGAGACTGGTGTTGGGTTGCTTCTCAAGTGTTAGATGCTCATTGCCTAGGAGGCCGAGGACTCCGAGTGGGGACTGTGCCCTTAGGTTTCTCACTTATCAGCACTTCTGGTCAGATCAATGCGATGCCAGTGCCTCTTCCCTGACCTTCTTATGCCTTCTTCTCCTTTTGACAAAGTCCCTGATGTCCCCTTAACACAAGGGTGATTGACAGCAGCTCTGTGTGTGTGACTCCCTTTGGACATTTCCACTTCCCATTAGGAAATGGTTTACCTTCTGTGTGCCATAGTGTATGGGATGAGTTTGGGATCTGGGGCTCTGAGGCAAGGGCCTTCCCGTATCTCCTACAGATACAGATGCCCTTAGAACTAAACTTTAGAAACCGAAGGGTATCTGGGCATCTAGAAATCCTCTTTTTGCCCCTTAATCTGCAGGCTTTTTTTTTTTTTTTTAAGATTTTATTTATTTATTTGTCAGAGAGAGCACAAGCAGGGGGAGCAGCAGGTAGAGGGAGAAGCAGCCTCCCCACCGAGCAGGGAGCCCAATGTGGGACTTGATCCCAGAACCCCTGGGATCATGACCTGAGCCAAAGGCAGATGCTTAACTGTCTGAGCCATCCAGCATCCCAATCTGCCGTCTTTAGAGACTGTTTGTGTCTTTCCATCCCACGGGTGGTGCAAAGCCAAGCCAGCATCATCAGGGAGGCGATTAGCAACAGGCAGACTGTTCTCATGTGGAGGTATGGGACGGTCTCACATGCCGACAAATGCCACATGACCCAAGGGAGCAGGGACTGAACTGGGGCTGTACTGACTCTTGAAAATGACAGTTGCAGAGTAGAGATTAGGGAAGTTCCCGGTGGCAATTTGTTATCTGTGCGAGTGGCCATAGATGGAAGTTCAGAAGTGTGGTTCCAGACGTTGATGGTGGGCAGAGGAGAGATTGGACATGGCTCATCCTCAGAGACGGTTCCTGCCTCCCCTGATTCCAGAGGGCCCATGTGGACAGGTAGCTGTTTGGCTATCTGGGCATGGTGGGGCAGCTTAGCGAGCCCAGACGACGTTCAGTCCCAAGAGTGCTCCGCACTTGGCCGGAGTCCCTCGCTGCCAGAACCAGACCGAATTCTTAGTGAAGGAATTAAAGGAGCTGAAGATCATCAGGGAAGGAAGTCTGCAAGGCTCTGCAGACTCCAGGCTTCTGAGAATGTGTGGCCTCCCCAGACCCAGTCAGGAAGCTTGAGGGCATCTGTGTAGTCCTCAAACATTTGTTAAATTGAGTTCAGTCGAATTGAACTGAACCGAATTGAAAGGCGACGCGTAGCCTGGAAAGTAGATGTGATAAGGGCGGGGATTTCCTCCCTGCTTTGCGTTCACAGCCTCAGTAGTTGATGACATGAGTGTGCTGTATGTGTGTGAGTAATTTAAGAAGCTAACACATTTTAGCCAGAAAGAAGAGCCATCTCTACTCAGACAGTAATGATGGTCAATGAAATGTGTTTCAAGTGGCCTCTATACGCCGTACGTTGTAGCAGATGCCTTGTATACTTTATACCTTGATCGTTGGGCTGGCCAGCCTGATAAGGGAGGTCTTCTCATCTCCATTTTACAGTTGGGGTACAAAGGCTCACAAAGATTTTAAAATATTCCTAAAATACCTTTTCTCTAAGTGGAGTCGGGATTTGGCCCCACGTCCTTCTGACCCCTGTCTTGCTGTCCCTTCCCACGTGGGTCTTTAGTCTCATATTCCTCCTCTGCCCGGTGCCCATGTCACGGGCCCAGTGCCTGCCACGTCCTTCCAAGTCTTCATTCCCGAAGCCAACTCTGCCTGTGATCAGTCCTTTTTTGGAATTATTCTCACTCTTGGCATACAACACACAGTCTGACATCTAATTGTATAGTTTTGCTTTTTTTTGTTCTTTTATTGGGAAGGAAGTAGACCTTGTGCTTCTTACGTATTGCCCACAGCACCAGGATACACACAGCAGGCACTTAACACTGCAAATAATTTTGGCTGATTTGAGGTTTGTCACTGAGCACCAGCTACTTCTCACCTTCTTCCTTGCAGAAGTCAGGATTCTTCTTCCCAAACTCACACCCAGTTTGAAGCATCTTAAAGTAGTCTGATCTCTCCTTCCACTTCTCATTAGCTTCCTGTCTCAGCCCAGGACAGGGTAGCACACAGGGGGCATTTCTTTCTTTTCTTTTCTTTTTTTTTTTTTTTTTAAGATTTTATTTATTTGAGGGAGAGAGAGAGCACGATTGCATGCATGAGTGCAGGGCAGGGGGGAGTGGCAGAGGAAAAGGGACAAACAGACTCCCCAGTGAGTGGGGACCTCAACATGGGGCTCGATCCCAGGATCCCAGGATCATGACCTGAACCGAAGTCAGATGCTTAACCGACTGAGCCACCCAGCATCCCACAGAGCGGGAATTTCATTAAATTCTGAGAAGGTGGCTGCTTGTGGGGCTGAAGGTTTTGGAAATGAGAGTTGGTTCCCTTAGGAGAGGCAAGTGGTAGTGGAGTAATTAAAAGCATAGACTCTGAAGTCAGACCTGGGTTCAAATCATTGCTCTGCTGTTTACTAACTTTGGCGCCAAGTCAGATAACCTCTCTGAGCCTGGGTTTCCTCATCCGCAAGGTAGGTAAAATCTTAAGTTCTTTATTGGATTGTTGTAAAGATTGGATGAGACAACACACACAAAAGCACTCAAAGAACAGATCGGTGGTTGCCGGGGGGGGGGGGGGGTTGGGCAAAAGGGTGAAGGGGGGTCAAAAGGTACAAACTTCCATTTATAAAATAGATAAGTCCTAGGGATGTAATGTACAGTATGGTAACTATAATTAATAATGCTGTATTGTATATATGAAAGTTGCTGAGAGAGTAGACCTTAAAAGTTCTCATTACAAGAAAAAAAGAACTTGTAGCTATGTGTGGTGATGGATGTCAGCTAGACCTCTCGTGGTGATTAGTTCACAATCTATACAAATGTTGGATCATTGTGTTGCATACCTGAAACTAACAAAATGTTATATGTCAAACTCTCTCTCTATATTTATATATAAATAATATCTTCATAGTAATATATATAAATAATTGATTAGTTATACTTACATATTTATAAAACCAATAAAATGTTCATCTGCTTGACCCTGAAAAAAAACCACTTAAAGCGGTGCTTTGCAGAAAGAACTATACATCTTAGCCACTAAAAAATACCCCACAGGGACGCCTGGTGGCTTAGTTCGTTAGGTGTCTGAGTCTTGGTTTCGGCTGGGGTCATGATCTCAGGGTCGTGAGATCAAGCCCTGTCTGGAGCCCCACATGGAGCCCTGAGTCGGGCTCTGTCAGAGCTCGGCGGGTAGTCTACCTGAGATTCTCTCCCCTCCCTCTCTCTTTGCTCCTCCCCTGTGCCCCCCCCTCAAATGAATACATAAATCTTTAGAAAATAATAAAAAATACCCCTCTCCCCACAACTGTAGGTGTTATGGGATGTGGTGGGTATTAGGCAGGATTTTAGAGGGAAAGGAACTTTATCTTGTTACAACTGGCAGTGGGGTGTATGTGTGGGGTTTCCATGGGCATGGCGAAACCTCCTGGGAGTCTGTAGGAAGTGAAGCTAGAGGAGACCCCCTCATGTTTTTTGAGGCAGAGACTGGAGGAGGAATGACCTGGGAGCCCCCAAAGCTCTGGAGCCTTGACTTAGGATGAATCAAGTCCTCAATGTGTGCGCGGGCATGCCTGGTAACTTTCTTTCTCTTTGTCTAGTGATCTCTTAATGAGGGACAACCTGTTTGAAATCATAACAAGCTCCAGGACCTTCTACATACAGGTAAAAAGCTCACTCTGAGAAGACTGGTGTTCTGTCTCTGTGAATGGTGTGCTAAAAGGTCTCGCCCTTTCCTCTGCTTTCTCTTTTATTTAGTTTAAAGTTTCTAGGTGGTAAATTTAGCCCCCAATTGTCAGTCTGAGTCCCATTTTATTCTAAACAGGATGTTTGCCAGAAGCTTCCCACCCATAAAATAGTGAGAGCAGGTTGAGCCTCTGAACTGGGGAATGCGAGTTTGTACTAGCTGCTTTCAGCTGGTGGGCGCCAGCTAAGCAGAGAAAAGGAGAACTAGCCAGGGGTTTCACTTCTCCTTTGGAGGGTATTTATAAGCCCCGCCTGTGTGGACATCTCTGTGTGCGGAAGGACAAAAGCCCAGAGGGCCCTGTGCCGGCACCAGGTGCAAAGCCCAGCTGCACAGAGAAAGTCATTGTTTGGGCTCTGACAGTTCAGCTCTCTGAAGCTTCTCCCTCCACCCACAGCTTTGGAGCTCTCCCAGCTCTTCCTCAAATCATAGGAGCTAGAAAAGCAGATCCCCGAGCAGGGCCTAAACTCTCGGTGCCAAGTCCTTACCCAAGCTGGCCTGGCAATCCACGGAACATGCCTCGATCCACACAGCATCATGATAATGCCTCATTTCTGGCATACAGGCTGCCATGCAGTGCGTTGGTTTAGATGTGGGGCTCCCCAGCTGAGGCTTTTCAGGGTTCCCAGTGCCCTTTCTTTGTTCCAGGTGTCAATCCCCATTAAGTACCATCCCTTCCAGAGGGCCCCGCACCCCATTTCTTGGGCAGCAGCTCCATAATCCTGACTCCTCCGAGCTGGTCCTCCTGCCCCCCGAGCTGAGCAGACGTGCTGGCAGCTTTAACTGTCTGTGGGCTCCGCTCATTGACCCAAGCATGTGTCACTGGGGAAGAGAGAGCATAAGGGAGCTGTGGCTAGCTTTGCTGGGGTTGTTAGAGCTGGTTCCATTGTCATTTGGGGACAAAGTTTAAGCTGTAGTTTCAAAACAGTTTCTGGTCCTTGCATTTAACAGGCATATGCAGGGTATCCTTAGAATACCAGGCATTTTGCCTCATACTGGGGACACTGTTAAAGAGAACAGATCCTGAACCAGAGGGAGAGAGATGTTGTCAAGTAAACGCAATTGCAACAGTGTGATGGGGTGGGGGAAGGGAGTGTTGGGTAGATGAACGCTGTGGGGGGGTTAGGGCAGTGAAACTATATGACACTTCAGTGGCGGATGCATGAAATAGAACTTTATAGCACAAAGTAAAGTAAAGAGTAGAAAACTTTAATATATGTGAATTAAAAAAATCACTTAGGAGGTCAGGTGATTCGAGCACGGCGTGTGGATGATGACAAAAGAACCTAAATGCATTATGAGTATGGAACAACCTCACTGAAGGGACTGAGGGAATAAAAAACAAAAAAGCAAAAACCAAAAAACCCAGTGTGGTTAGTGCTATCATTACAGTGAGTGGTGGTTGTCATGGAACTCATAAAAAGGGCACCTTCCCCTGTCTCAGGGAGTCAGGGGAGGTTTCCTGAAGGAAGGCACATCTAAACTGAGTCCGTTGGGGGAAGAGTGGCCCAGGCAGAGGGAACAGCATGTGTGAACACAGGATACACAGATAAAGGAGCACAGAGCACATGCAAGACCGGACCCCCACACGGAGGGCCCACGCCTTACAGTCCTTGCCAAAGAGCTTGTACTTTATCCTGAAGGATAGGGCCCCTTGAGGTGGAGCCCTGGGAGTGGTCCAATCAGCTCTGCCTTCTAAAAATACTACTTGGGCAAATGATCTAACTTTCAAGCCTTGTTTTCCTCATCTGTGAAGTGGAGGTGATATCCCTCAACCCAACCGCGTTACTGGTGTGCTGGCTGTGGGTTTCCAGGCCCAGTGCAGTATAAACACGGATGAGGGAGGGTGGAGGGCAAGACAAGGTAGGGAGAGCAGGTTGGGGGCTGTCGTCGTAATTTGGGTCACGGGTGAAGGAAGCTTGAACGAGGAAGGATGGAGAGAAGTGGACAATTTAAAAGCTATTGAAGAGTATTTTCTGGGACTTGGTTGTGGGTTGGATGTGGGGTGAGGGGAGACAGGGGAGGTAAGGACACTGCTGGGTGTTTGGCCTGGGCCTCAGAGTGCCTGATGGGAGCCGTCACTCAGACCGGAGCACGGGAGGAGGGACTGGTGAGCGGAAAGGCAGCCTTCATGTTGGGGGTTCTGAGTTGACAGTGTGTCTGTGGGACATTCGAGTTGACATGTTATGAAGGTCCTCAGAGAGACAGTGCCTGACACATGGGTGGTATGAAATAAGTATTTGTCAAGTGAAAGATTATGCTGGGAAAGAGCTTTGGACGAGGGAGAGTGATTTGGGAAACAAGAACTCCAACAAAAACAATGTTCAAAACACTTTTGAACAAAGCATGTGCACATTTACCAGAAGCTTCTCATCACTTCTACCCTCCTTTGCCTTCTGCTCCCACATTTCTGGGATAACAGAATACTAGCATCACCCTGAAATAAACAAATGAGCGGATGGACAAGTCTGTTAATAGCACCTAACTCAAAGAGAACAGAAGATTGAGAAGAATATAGAGTAAAAATCCTTAAGAATATGTATTAATTTACTGTCAGTAGCAACTAAAAACTCATTTATGTTGACACAAGTAATATCTTATGAAAAACAGGTATATTTCTAAAACAAAAAAAGCAACAAGAGTAGCATTGTTTTTTGCATTTCTGCAAATCTCTTTAATGGCTGGCTTACTAGAGGACAGCAGGATTCTCTCTCTGCTCCTGCGTTCTATCTGTGGCCATATGTTGTTTTGGTTGAAGGATATGAAGAAAATCTGGCCTCACACAGATATGTATTTGGAAAAAAGGAATATTTTAATAGCTTTTTCAGATAATTGTGGATATTTTTCTCTGATTCTATATCAAAACTTGACAAGTGGTATTTTCTTAATGTTTAGGTGCAATGTGGTATTTGGAAGCCAGTATCAATATCCATAAACTTTCATAGTCTTACGTGAAAATCTGGCCAGTTTTGCACTCTGAATGGATCCTTTTTACCAGTGCATGATTTTGTAACTGTGTGCGCTGGTCATTAGGAAAATAGTGGTCCCACTGAGGTATGCAGACCTTCCAAATGTTGACACACTTTATTATATAATATCAAAAAATCACCTTTGTTAATATCACCGCAAGGATCCTCATCAACAAAGTTGTTGAGTACAGAAAGCTGTCAAGCTTATGGAGGGGGATACCACTTTTTGGAATTCTAATTTTGTTTGAGACCTCAAAATTCATCATCTGCAAACAAATACTTTCATGATTTTGCTTGACTAAATGGACTCCTTTCATTCATTTTTGAGAAAGAGTCCACCATATGCCTAAGTCTGAGTAAGTTTGACAGCTAGTTTGTCAGTCATTTGTTCCAAGGAAAAATTGTGTCTCATGCAAAAGGTAAAAGCATAGAATGATTCCTCCTACAGTGTGGTGCCAGCAACTTTTGCCACCGTGCCTCCGTGGCATTCTGACCTGCTTCCTAGTGTATGTTCAGTAAATCTGCCTGAAAGAACCACGTATGCTCGGTATCCAGGGAAGCTAGCCCAGAGAGCCGGGCAGCTGGAGGCAGAGCAAACAGGCTCCTTGGACAGGGCACGGAGGCTTGGGCGACAACATGGCGCTGGCTTCCAACTGCTGAGGTGTTGGTCATTTACCTTCTGTCACACATGCCTTCTATGTCACGCTTACGTATAATTTGAACCCTGGGATGCTACCGTTTGTTGGACACTCAGCTGTGAGAGGCATGGTGCTAAGGAGTTTACAGGCAGCATATCACTTAACTTCTGAGCAATCTCTGAGGCCATCTCCATTTTACAGATGAGGAAACGGAGTGTCTGAAGGTAAATTATTTGTTTGAGATCATAAACCTGAATTGTGGAACTGATTAGGAGGCCCCTAATCAGGTGCTAGATCAGGATCTACTCCCTTGTGTTGTTTAAAAGCGGCTTGGTACGAAATCAGAGAGGGAGACAAACCATAAGAGACTCTTAATCATGGGAAATAGACTGAGGGGTGCTGGAGGGGAGAAGGGAGGGGGAATGGGGTACCTGGGTGCTGGACATTAAGGAGGGCACGTGATGGAATGAGCACTGGGTGTTATATAAGACTGATGAGTCACTGACCTCTACCCCAGAAACCAATAATAACATCATGTTATTAATTGAATTTAAATTGAAAAAAAGTATATAAAAAAAATAAAAGCAGCTTGGTGCAGAGCCCAAGATATAGAGGGTGTGGCCATAGATAACCAGGAGAGACCAGCTTGGGGGGACTGGCTGTCATGGCAGGTGGATCATGGTGACCAAGATCCAGGATCTGGCAGTAATCAGGTATCTAAGCTTGGCGAGTCAGCAAACTTATCAGCCTGTAGACGGTTCTCAGTTCTGGGCAAAGATTCAAGATGAGATTTCAGTCCTTGGAATACAAGGCATGCAGGGTTCACCATTTCTCTCTTTCCCAGTCATAGAAGGTCAGGGGTATTATGTTGGAGGATTTAGTTATTCTAGATGAGAAATGTAGTGCAGGCTGGTTTGGGTAACTTGGCATAAGCCCAGTTGCCAGAACTAGGGGTCCGTGTCAGGATAAGAATAGTAATAAGAGGGCTCCCATGTGGATTGCGGAGTGTTGAGCTAGAACTCTTTGGATACATACTGTTTTAATTTAGACTATAGGGTGAATGACATCACTCAGAACTATGTAGTATACAGCCTAGACAGTTGGATGTGGCCCGGCTGTGTCTAAAAACGGGATTGGGTCCTGGGAAGAGGGCAGGGATTATTAGCTTTTGGAAGGGGGGCAGCACAGAGGTGGGGAATAGAATGCAGAAGGAGCATCGTACAAATGTTGGACAGCTGCAGCAGAAGCCACCCCGGTAGGTACTGGAGGCCTGTTACTCATGACCTCTGGAATTCATTGCTTCAAACCGTTGCATCTGTTATGGTACTGGGTTTATTGTAGGTGCTCAGTAAAAAAGCTCATTGGACTACAATAAACCTCAGGCTGCCATGATTCCTTTTAGTATCCTTTATTCCTCTCACCTCAAAAACTGTTCTCAAGGACAGAAACCCTACTTTTTCTTTCTAACCAAGTGCCAGAAACAAATGCACACACTTAAGCATGCCAGGAAGAGATGAAGGTATGAGTGTGGCAATTCCCCTTTTGTTCTACTGAGTTTTAAGCATCTTTTAGACTTTTCATAATTCATCATGGGGTGCGTGGACTTCAGCTCTATTTTTTACTTCTGGTTCACCTTTGTGATGGTGTTTTAAGATGTTTTTGGGTTTTTGAGGAAAGCTAAACACAGGCTTTCCATTAAAGGTAGACATACACATACGCCATATGTTTGCATACAGTTTTTAAGGTTTCACTGAATTTTTGTTGCCAGTGAATCCAAGTTCTAAAACTACTAATAGAGATTACAGTTGTGATCTCAATAAAGTGATAGTCTTTTTTCTCATTCTTATCACAATATTTGCTTGTCTATTTAAATAATATTTTATTTTATATTATTATTTTTTAAGTAGACTGCACACCCAGTGTGGAGCCCAACACAGGGCTTGAACTCACGACTGTGAGATTGAGACCTGAGCTGAGATCAAGAGTCGGATGCTTAACTGACTGAGCCACCTAGGCACCCCCTGAATAATATTTAAAATAACATTTGTTAAACATTAAAATAATGCTTACTAATGTTTATTACTATCCTTCTGGCTGGATTAACTCTATAGGTTATCTGACAGAAAATGTCCTTAAGCAGGATTAGAGAATTGGGGAAAAAACATAATTAGCAAACAGTTTCCATCTTTATTAATTACTAAATTTTTTAAAAAAGATTTTATTTATTTGACAGAGAGACAGCCAGAGAGAGAACACAAGCAGGGGGAGTGGGAGAGGGAGAAGCAGGCTTCCTGCAGAGCAGGGAGCCCGATGCGGGGCTCAATCCAGGACCCTGGGATCATGACCTGAGCTGAAGGCAGATGCTTAACGACTGAGCCACCCAGGTGCCCCAATTACTAAATGTTTTAAGACAGAGACTTATTTTGCCCATCATGTTCGCAAAGTCTTTAAAAATTGTAATACTTAATTCTAGCAAGGGTGCAGATAAAAAATAATATATTGGTGGCAAGTGAAATCTGTCTTTTTGGCCAGAAATCTCTCTGGCCAGATGTAACAAGAGCCTTAAAAGAATGCATATTCTTTAGTAATTTTCCCAGGAGCTGAAGAATTGTAAGAATGAAAAAAAGCTTTGTGCACAAAGATGTGAATAGTAGCGTTACTTATATGAGAGGGGAATTGGAAACAATTTAAATGTGTTTTAGAGGATTTTGATTCTTGTGTCTGACTCCCCAGATGTTAAGTCAGGTGGTGCCTAGTTTTCTCTTCCTCAGTGGCTCCTTGCTAGATGGAGACTGGGGTGAAGACCACTAGGCTCATGGTGTGGTGGGTTCCTGGAGAGACATATGAGGGCATTGGTGGGGTCTCAAAGGACAGATAGGTGGCCTGTGGCTTGTGGGACATTTGACGTGGGGGTTGCTGTGTTGTGCTTGGGTGGTGGAAGGGGTACAAGTAGCTTAATAGCCCTGGAAACTGGCGTCATGTGGATTGTGCAGTCTGTTTCACGAAAATCCTGGACCTCCTGCATGATGTGGGAAACGTTTGTCTCTCCCTCAGCTCCTATCTCCATGTCTCCCGATCCTCTGACATTTCTCCCTACCGAATCCTCTGTCTCCCTAGAAGGAAAATCTCTGAGAAATGCTTTTCTACTAGTGGACAATTTAACTACCTCCATCTCATTCAACTCAAAGTAGCCAAATATGTTATCTTATTTGATCTGGACAATTTGATCCTTAGGCAGGAATTATCTGCAGTTTGAGTATGAGGAAACAGAAAAAAAGTTTCAGGGAGAGGCCAATTAACATATACATGTTCTATACATAGTGTTGGAATTTAAGGCTTCATTTGTGTCCCTCATGTAATAATAATAACAGCAATAACTAATACTTTGTGTTCAAAGTGCTTTACCTAAATGAGTTCATTGCATTTTCCCAGTGGCTCTACTTGTGGAACAGGCTAGCCCTGAGATTAGTAAAATAACTTCTGGAAGAATCTTGGACAGCTTATCCTGTTTATCTTCTTGGACTAGGGATGGATTTATCTTTTTCTTGGAAAACCAACCACCAGGTTGTCACACAACTGGGAAAAGCCCAGGGGAGAGAGAATACAGGGAATTTGCAGCTCTAGCATGTGAGAGAGGTGTTCACCTTGTTGCTATACCCGCTTAACCCAGTGTGTCAGGATGTGAAACTATTTCTTTTCTTTTTTTTTTTTTTTTAAAGATTCCATTTATTTATTTGAGAAGAGAGAGTGTGAGAGGGAGCAGGAATGGGGGGAGGGCAGAGGCAGAGGGACAAGCAGACTCCCCGCTGAGCTGGGAGCCCCACACGGGGCTCCATCCCAGGACCCTGAGATCATGACCTGAGCGGAAGGCAGACACCTAACCGACTGAGCCACCCAGGCGCCCCTGAAACCATTTCTTTTCTAAGTGTCTTCTGCACACACCTAACTCATGAGGGTTTGTTTGGGGTGACAGAAAGGGGTAGGAGCACCAGTTTGAGGATTTAAAAAAAAAACTAGTCGTGTTTTATTCTGATACAGTGCAACATGAAAGAATCATCTGGGGGATGGGGAAAGTGAGGGGCCTATGTGGGGAATTTTGCAGGCTGGAGTGTGGCGTTTACATATACCTTGCTTAGGAAAAGGCACACACTTGTGATTTTGGGTAGGGCTGTTAGGGGAAGGCACAGGGAGCAGAGAGAGATTAACAAATGGAAATTTCTGGAGGTCAGGGATTTGGTCTTGGTCTCATCTCTGTGCCTGGCACCTGATGCCACGTGTAAGACCGAGGAGGGCCGCAGCAAACATTGGCTAGGTTCACTTGAATGCAACCCCTGTAAAGCTGGAAGGCGCTGAGAATTCTGAGGGCTCCACCTGCTGCCGCTTGGCCATTTGATTTTCCTTTCTTCATAGAGCCGCTGCTGCCCCCTTCTGGGGTTGGTAGGTATTTCTGGGGGATATGCTTTTTAAGGGCTCAGCAGTGTCCTGCACGATGGTAAGCTTGGTGCTCCGAGTCTACCAACTCTCCAGGCCTGGATGGAGTCTGGACAGACCCAGGTCGCTTGTTCTCTGAGGGAAGCCTTGTTCCTGGAGATAATATGTATCTTGGAGAATTTGCAGAGGATTTGGCTTTGGCGGGACTGGAGTTGAAAAAGGGATTATTCTGTTTGGATAGCTGTGGTAGAAAGATGCCTGCATTGGGAGTTAGGAGAACTGGAATCTAGATCAACCGTAAGTGTTGAGCTTTGGCTCAACATTTTCCTTTTCTGGGGCGCCTGGGTGGCTCAGTCGTTAAGCGTCTGCCTTCAGCTCAGGTCATGATCCCAGGGTCCTGGGATTGAGCCCCGCATTGGGCTCTCTGCTCGGCCGGAAGCCTGCTTCTCCCTCTCCCACTCGCCCTGCTTGTGTTCCTGTTCTCGCTGTGTCTTTCTGTGTCAAATGAATAAATGGAATCTTAAAAAAAGAAACAACAACAACAAAAAAACCCCATTTTCCTTTTCTGTAAAGGCCGGTTGTGTTCCAGAGAGGGTGAGGGGCTTCAGCAGGAATGGCCTTTGCCCCACGTGGAGCTGTTTTATTTATGGAGTGTCAAATATGAGTTTGCTGGAAACAAATGTCCTCAAAAGTCTGAGAGCCACTGGATGACATGATTTCTGGGCTCCTTCCAGCTCTAATGGTGTGGTTTTATAAACTTAGAATTGAACCACAGACTTGTGAGCTGAAATCATAATGCCAAACATTTCTCCCTAAGTGCTAAGGCTGTTTTGCAGGCGGACAGTCCAGAAGACATGCACAGCTGGATTAAGGAGATCGGGGCAGCTGTTCAGGCCCTCAAGTGCCACCCCAGAGTAAGTCATTTCCTTTCTGGTACATGGTCACTGTCAACTTAGAGATGAATTCTCTCTGAGTGGGCAGGTTTTATTTGGTGATGCAGCCAAGCACTCTGTCCCTGGAAGCAGCCGAAGCCTCAGGCTGTCTTGTTTGTTTCCTCTTTCTGCTGGTTTAGGTACAAAATTTTATTTTTTGTTTTTGTTTTTTTGTTGTTGGAAAGAGGTGAGGTGTAGGGTTGGGTAAAGAGACAGAGCCTGTGATGTGTTCTACACATCTCCCTGTGTCGGCCGACCTTGACACATCTGGGGTGAATTCTGTTGGTCAGACTTGATTTCTGTAGACCAGTGCCTCTGGACCTATGAGGGGGTGATCATGGGTGGGTGTTCTTCCTGGGGCTTTGGGATAAACATTGTCAGGAAAGGCCTTATTTTCCTTTGTTTTTTTCTTCCCTTTTATTTTTGTAGGATATGTCCTTTTCTAGATCCATCTCTTTGACTCGCTCTGGAAGCTCTGGCCTCTCAGGGGGGCCCAACTCTGTCCTGTGTAGGGGGCGGCCACCTATGGAAGAGAAAAAAGCTCTCTGCAAAGCCCCCTCTGTGGCTTCCTCCTGGCAACCCTGGACCCCCGTCCCACAGGCCGGGGACAAGCTGCTTCCAGCTGAAGAGACTCCTGGGGACTCTTTGTTCATGCCCCGGCTTGGGGAGAGCAGTACTTCTGGGGTGTTGCCCAGCTCCCGGATAAGGCACAGGTCGGAGCCCCAGCACCCCAAGGAGAAACCATTTCTGTTCAGCCTTGATGATGAGAGCATACGGACTTCTGATGTGTGATAGGGCACAGTGCCCTGGGAGGGGGGAGGACTCAAGAAAAGGAGGCCATGACTCAGTTTCCCTACATTTTGGAGGACAGTCAGAGACCCTTTGGCACTCATATTCCTGTGGATGCTATGTGGGAGGGGCCCATCCAGCTGGCCTGTTTTTTTTTTTTTTTTTTAAATATCAATACAGTATATTTAACTTGGAAAAATCACTAGGTTGGACCTGTAGGCACGCTCAGTAGACAACAGGTTGCCTCTACTTTGACTGTTCTAAGGTCTTCCTGGTGAGAGAAGGTTGGGAGTGCAATTTCATCCCTAACCAAGTTTTGTTTCCTTGTCCTAGTTGTAGTTCCTTCCTTTACTTTCCAGGCCAGGCACAGAATCTTGGGCCAGTCATCTGGTTTGTCCAATTCTTATTTATTGGCTGAGGTCTGACTGTGAAGTAGGAAGGTCGTAACTAACCCAGCTGGCTTGCCTGGGATACATTCTGAGGGGAGGTGTTAAAATCTGGGGGCTGGCAGGGAGCTCTCAGAATGTCTACGAGGGTAGATCCTCTCAGGGGACTTCTGTAGGGGAAGAAATAGGGAATCTCGTGTAAGGTATGGGGTAAGAGTCAATCTCAGCATATCAGCCAATTTTGGGAATTATTCTGTTCTTGTCTATGACCCCAAATATTGTCAATGTGAGTGATAGACCTGCCCACGCAGTTTCTGTGTCAGGCCCTGGGGATGGGTTTATCCGTGTTGAAAGTTACGACTGTTGAGACTAGAGCAGACATTTCCATTGCTATGGCATTATTTGGAAGTTTGGAGGGTTGATAAGTGTAGGATAATTCCCTTGCGTGAGAGATCAGATCTCTATTTTAGGGTGTTAGAATTGCTTTAGAGCAGGTCCTGGGAAAAGACGGGCATCCAGATAAACTTCATCCAGATAGACTTTTCTGATCCGTGTTTTCCAGACAGAAGAAAAGGTCTGTTTTAGCACAGACAGATTTCTTGAATCCTTACTTCATAGCTCTTCAGTGGGCTGATATTAGTCTAATTTTAAGTGCTGTATATTATATAACCTGGCAGATTTGCTTTCTTTCTACTCTTTCTGTTGCCCTTTGAATGAAGCCTTGTGTACTTGCATGATCAAACCTTGTGACCAGATCAGGTTCCCAGTACTTAATAGTGAAGAGATACGAGGATAATGTTGAGAGATATTTATATTTTTAATAAAATAGAAACTATGCAAAGTGACATTGATTTAGAGGCTCTGCATTGCTGACTAGAGATTTCCCAGGTAGAAGAGCGTAGGTTGCATTTCCCACCCAGATTTTTAGGTGTACCTTCTTTCATTTGACAAGAAGATACTATTTCCAGTGTCCCTGGGAGAATTTGTCCAACTTATGTGGTGAACTGCTAACTTATCGGGGTGCCCTAAAGGGAGAGAAAAACTGACTCATTTCTGTCTATGCCTTTTATCAGCTAGATCAGCTAATTACCTTTAAATTAAAAATCAATCACTAGAGGAAGATACCGAGAGATGTGTTTTTACCTAAGTCAGTCCCTTCCGCTTCCTTATGTCCAGATCTAATACAGAGGCAAAAACATGTCATCAGAAATCCTTAGGGGCTTGAGGGAAATCTTGTGTTCCTTGCAGGCAGTGTAACTCCCTTGAAGTCTATGTCATGTTGAGAACTTTTATTGACCGCACTGCACTGGAGCTATTCTTCACTTAAATTGTTTGGCCTAGTGGTCCTGGTAGAAAAAAGACATCTAGTACTGGATCTCTCTCTCTCTCTCTCTCTCCTCTTTTTTGCAGACTCTTGTAGACGGTTGTCCTCAGAAATCTGTGGTTTGGGAGTTAGTTATTTATGAGTGACCGAGGTTACAGCTTCAAGTAGTCTGATAAGTAGTCATTTCAGATTCTTAAAGCTCCTTGTCTCTGATTTCATCTTCAGATTTTCCTCAAGAAACTTCTTTGGCTAGGTCAAAGAAAATACACAAAAAGTGATATTTGCACTAACAAAAATAAGTTAGGAAATTTTGAGATCCCTTTAAACATTCCCTAACTCATGAAAGCTGTCATCTTTTGGTGTTTAAGCTGTGAAAATGTACCCATTTCTCTTTTGTTAAATAAACTCTCTGCTAGAATACGCCTGCTGAATTAATTGGCCATTATATTAAGCTGATATGTTTCTTATTTCAGTAGGGTCTATTTTATGAATGTGTTAAACATACTTATAAATCTAGATTATATTATTATGATAGAAGGAAAACAAGGACTTTAGTTGGCAAATACTTGGGAATACCAAGTGAGAACATTGCTAATGTAGTTCCAACACCAGATAAATAGAATTATCTTCAGTGAAGTCTGTAAGCATTCTCATTCCCAAACCTTATTTCAGAATTCCTTTTGTGTCCATATTTCTTACCTTCTGGCCAATTTCACATCACAACTTTTTAACGTCACTACACATGTGAGCCAAAGATAGTGCATATATAGTCAAAGCATTTGGCTTTAAATGTCTGTGGAACCAGATGGAAAAAATAGGGCAGGGATGCAGTATAGGTTAGTGGTTAAATGCACAGGCTCTGGAATAAATCTGAGTTAAAAAAAAGGAACCAAAAAAGGTACTGCCATTTTCTTTGTGGAATAAAAACCTTCTTGGGTTGTGCTGTTTTCATAAGACTATTGAAGTGATGTTGATCCAGTTTGTGTAACAGTATTACAGGTGGTCTTCCCTATAATTGAACTATTTGCCATCCACTATTCTTGAGAGCTTAAGGATTTGCTTACTCAAGCTCAGTTGGTGGTTGGTAAACATGGTTTGACTTTTTGCATCCTGTGAGACATCATAAACCTACTAAGGTGTAGAGTAGACTCAGGTCAAAATATTGAAAGGTATATGTTTATTTCTGAGTAGAATGCTGAGCTGCTCACTCATATGAGAAAGAGCAGAGGTAAGGCCCAGCTCTGTAGTTCACTTGAAGCAAAAGGTTTTTTTTTCCCTTGCTGAATATAACTGTGCTCATATGGGCTAAAAGGACCTAAATAGATTCAGTAGTTGAGCAGTGGGATTTGATGTTTGTTTTCACTGTTGACCAGTAACAGCATTTTGGAAATCGAGTTTCCCAAGTGAGCTTTGTTTATAAACTTTGAACATGTCAAAAATGGATAGTTTAGTAAATCTTTTCAACCAACATCACTTTTCTTTTCTTACTCCTTTTTTTCTGTTATTGCCTGCAGCAGTCAGTTACAGTCACTCATGCTAAGTAGAATTTGAATAAAGCTAATGTTAGCAAAAATAGACTGTTTGACCTCTCCCCCACTGCTTATTGAAGTGTGGCATGATTTTGTGTTTTGAACCAGTACGTTTCAGCTGTGAAATGCACTCACTGTAAGCACTGAGCTGAGTGCATGGAAACTGTTACGCTTCTCATTTTATGTGATCTCCTAATTGGTATGTAGCAAAAAAATAATTTTCTAAACCTGTTTTGTTGCTTGTTTTGTAATAAAACCATGTGAAATACTGAAATATGGTGTGTGTTTTCCTAATGCTGACCCTCTGCCTGTGGATGGGTGATCTCTCTTGTCAGTCTGCCCCATTATTGGTTTTCTGGCCTTCCCGAGGTAGGTCCCTGCACAGGGCGGGGCTGGGGACCTCTCTTGGTTGCATGGGGGTGGCCCTGGCCCTGGGGCAGGGACGGGGACGGGTGGTGGGGGATGCATGTGGGGGTGTGTGTGTGTGTGTAGAGGTCTGCCAGGCTCTGCCCCTTAAAGCCCAGGGGTTGAGGGAGGCGGCACCCTAGCGGGGAAGAAGTGTTGCTCATTTTAGAGCAGTTGCTCGTCCAAAGTAAACTGGAGCGTGAAGAAGGAAGGGGGCAGGATGACTAGACCTCTGCGGCGGCCAGCTCTGCTGGGACAGCTCCTCCTGCTGTGGCTGCTGCTCCCGCCGCCTGTGCCCAGAGGCGAGGCTAGGAGGTCCAGGGCCTTGCTGCCCTGTCCCGCAGCCTGCGAGCCCACGCGCTGCCCCCCGCTGCCCACCTGGCTCGGCGGGGTCGACGCCGGCGCTCGATCGCTGCCGCGTCTGCGCGGCTGCCGAGGGCGAGGCCTGCGGCGGGGCGCTGGGCGGGTGGTGCGCCCCGGGGCTGCAGTGTCGCGCGCCGCTCAGCGCCCCGCGCCTCGGCGGCGCCTGGGTCGGCACGTGCGGCTGCCCCGCGGCGCGGGCGGCGGTGTGCGGCCGCGACGGGCGCACCTATCCCAGCCTGTGCGCGTCGCGCGCCTCCGAGGCGCGCTCCCGGCCGTGCCGGTGCTGAAGGGCGGCTGCTCGGGTGGAGGTGAGCGCTGGCCCGCGCGCTCGGGAGGCTCGCAACGTCCCCAAGCCGCGCGCGCCTGTCGCGCGGTGCGCCGCGGGCTCTTTCCGCCTTTGCCTCCGATTCAACTCCTTGTTCCCAGTTTTCTTTCCTTCTTAGGTGTCTCTTACCAGTCCCCATGTGGTTTCTCCCCACTTGCCTCCCCGGGCCTGTTGAATGCCGTCTTCCCTTTTTCTTCTCTTTTTTTTCCCACCCGGGATGACAGGTCTGGTCCCTCAAGGCGTATCCTTGCGGGGTGGGAGTGAATACAGAGGGGAGGCCGAAGAGAGGAAGGGGAGGGAAAGGAGAGAGGAGGAGGAGAGAGACCGGGAGATTTGGGATATGACACCTGATCCGGCCAAGCAGCGGGGCGCCCATCGCCCCCAAGAGTGGAGCATTTCTTCACAGGGACCAGGAGTGTAGGCCGGCTCCGGAGCGAGAACAACTTCATCGCGGAGTTGGTGGAGAAGGTGGCGCCATCTGTGGTTCACTTGCAGCTGTTCCGCAGGTAAAGGAGGCAGGAGGAGGCCGCCCGCTACCCCGCGGGACTGTTTCTGAGCGCCTGCAGGCTCCGGGCCCCGCGCTACGGCTTTGCAGGCATCGCTTAGGCTTAGTCGTAAAACCCGCTGTGAGGAAATCGCGGCTCAAACAGGTTGAATAATCTGTTCGGGGTTGGTTTAGCCAAGGAGCGGAAGCGTAGGGATTGTGACTTCCAAATCTGGGCTACTCCTCTGCACTTCGGGGTCTGGCGTTTCTCTCTCCCTCATCTCCCACGGACAAAATGGAAGGTCAGATGTAAGAGCTAGAAGGCATCCTGATGGTGATCTTGCTCAGGCCCCTCGTTTGCCTGGAAGGAAATCCTATGTCACAAGGCCGGTTAGTAGTGGAACCTAAGCTGGAACCAGACTTCTTTGACTCCCTCCCTGCCAGCGTCCTCAAGAATGTGGCACTAGGTCCACGTTTGCGCGCAGTAGTAGGACTAGGTGAGGCCTCTCTGAAGCAGAGGGTTGCTGCTCTGATCAGCTCTGAAGAAGGAGGGGAGGGGGTCATCCCTGGAAAAGGAGAGTTGGGATCAGCTCTCTGTCATGTTCCTAAGAGATGGCCAGGGTGCTGAACATTCAGAGTCCAGTTACACATGGAGAGAATGAAAACAGACAGGGGATAGTAAGATGTCTGAGAAAACTGTGGTGGAGGTATGTTTGATAAATTAGAGGTTCCATGTCCCCAGACTCTGATGGATCCCCTGGTTTTCCTGCCCTCTGCTTATGCTGTTGTCTTGCTGGGACAGGTCACCTCTTAGCAACAAGGATATTCCTGCATCCAGTGGCTCTGGGTTCATAGTGTCTGAGGATGGGCTCATTGTTACCAATGCCCATGTCCTCACCAACCAGCAGCGGATCCAGGTGGAGCTCCAGAGTGGCGTCCAGTATGAAGCCACTGTCCAGGACATTGACCATAAATTGGACCTTGCACTGATTAAGATCGAGCCAAATGTGAGTATGCAAGGGCCAAATCAGTCTGTACATCTGGGGATTTCCATCAGTTTGCTGATATTTTCCTCTCCACCCCATTCCTGCTCCACATCTATTCTACCTGGTATATGGTCTTCTCTAGTTTCCTTTTTTTTCTGTTTTTCACTGTTTTATTTTCTTCTATGCCTGTCTGTATATCCCTAACAATTTCTATTAACTGTCTAGCCTCCTTCTTCAACAGATGCTGCTTCTGGGAAACTTATTTCTCTGCTTGCCTTAGAATACTAGGAATGATTGCAGTGGATTCAGAGCTGCCTAGGAATACTCTGAGGTCCTTGCTACGCGAAGTCTAGTCTGCATATCAGCAGCATTGACATTATCTGAGAAAGAATTTTTTTAAAAATGCAGGATCTCAGATCCCACCCACGTCTACTGAGTCAGAATCTGCATTTTAATAAGATCCCTAGGTGATTCGTGTGCACATTAAAATTTGAGAAGCACTGTTCTGGGCACTCTCCTTTCTGTTTGTGGTTTAATTTTGACTATAAAACTTTGAGCTGGGGTGTGCCCGGGTGGCTCAGTCTTTAGGCGTCTGCCTTTGGCTCAGGTCAGGATCTCAGGGTTGGGCTTCCTGCTCAGTGGGGAGTCTGCTTCTCTCTCTGCCCCTACCTCCCTTGTGCTTGCTTGCTCTCTCTCACTCTCTCAAGTAAATAAGTAAAAAAATCTTTAAAAAAATAAAATTTTGAGCTGGTATAGTGCTAAGTAAGTTGCTAATGTCATGTTCATCAGCGACTTCACTGGTCATTTAGTTACAGTAATTTCTACAAAGCAGTAATTTTGGATTTTAGAGATAATCCTGATCGTCTTACCAGGTGAGAGGTCGGTGGTTGCTGGAATTTGAGGAAGAAACATCAGGCACTTGTAGAACCTATATGAGTAGGTGGGAGGTTCTTGGATTTTGAGTGCCCAAATGATAGAGACCATGCCATATGTGTGTTGTACACAAATACTGGTTGATTCTATTCTTGATTTCTTCGTCACCTCTCTGTCCTTCCGGTCCCTCCTGGCTGTGTGCAGACTGACCTTCCTGTATTGCTGCTGGGAAGGTCCTCTGACCTGCGGGCTGGAGAGTTCGTGGTGGCCTTGGGCAGCCCGTTTTCTCTGTAGAACACAGTGACTGCAGGGATTGTCAGCACTACACAGCGAGGGGGCAGAGTGCTGGGGCTGAAGAATTGAGACATGAACTATATCCAGACGGATGCCATAATTAATGTAAGTCACTCGGGAGGGTTCTCAGCCCATAAGGCACTGGCAGGACAGTGAGAAGAACATGTCCGAAGGCCCTCTTTTCCTTTTGGCCTGTTGGGGCTGTCCAGAGTTCAGTTAGACCCTCACTGGAGGGATGAATGCCATGTCGTTCAGCCTGTTTGATGTGATCGTCAGCATCCGTGATAATGGGCAGTCTCTTTGGGTCTTTCATAGAGGTCACCCCTGCTGTAGAAGGTGGTGGTCCTTTGGCTCTTGTCTTTTACCTGCATCGACTTCAGTGTTGGTGATGACAGGGGCACGGCTTTGCCGTGCTCACCAGAGCAGGCTGCTTTTGGTAAACCTCTTTAGGAACTACGTATAAATGACAAGGAGAAAAGCACTGGCGACTTTTTCAAATTCTGTCTTCGGCACGGCAACTCTGGGGGCCCTCTGGTGAACTTGGTAAGTGGCCACTTGCCTTGCTGTTTCCTGTCTCGTCCCAACTTTCCAAGAATGATGATGCAAAGTAGGATGTCACTCTTGTGTAGAGATTTGTGGTAGGATGCTTTTCTATTATTGCATCTTAAGTAAATGGTTAGCAAAGATTTAAGATCTGTGCTGGATTTATCATCATTTATCACATGGCATGTGAGCTCATCCAGCTGAGGGTGCCAGGGTTTACTTCCGCTTACTGACATCTCTTCACCATGCCTTCTGTTTTCATTGTGTAGTTAACAAAAGCCCGGGGCACTAAACTAAAATATATGTCAGCTGACCACCTGTGCTACATAATGTCTATCCTTGAAGACCGCCTGCTGCTGCATGTGAAGAACTGTCCCTCATCCCTAAATGCTAACTACATGACGTGTCTGTTCGGGTTTTTAATCCTGATAGAGAAAAGCCACAGTGAGAATCCATCACTCTATCATGTATTTAATTCTTAGATGTTATTCAGCATCTCTAGTGGAAATGCAAGAGTTTCTAGTTGCTCAAATACCTGTGAAAACATGAGAAAGTGCAATGCTGTTTGACACGCAGTCTGTGATCATGCTGAGTCCCTTTGAGCTGACTGTTTTTGGTTCTTTACACATTACACTTGCTTTTTGGAGGATGAGCTAACTGTATGTGAAATCACTGAGCACTCTTTTACTTATAGTAATGTTACTTATGTAATTTTCTTGTGCTTGCTTTCTCTAGTAGACAATGAGTTTACTAGGGGCGCCTGAGTGGCTCAGTCGGTTAAGCATCTGCCTTCAGCTCAGGTCATGATCCCAGGGTCCTGGGATTGAACCCGAGTTGGGCTCCCTGCTCGGTGGGGAGTCTGCTTTTCCCTCTCCCTCTGTGTGTGCTCATGTTCTCTCTCTCTCTAGCTCTCACTGTCTCTCAAATAAATAAAATCTTAAAAAAAAAAAAGTGAGTTTACTAGAGCAGGGGTGACATGCAATTGTCAGGCCACACTCCAGACCTACTGAATTATGATATGTAATTTAATATGATCAGAAGTCTCTTTTTTACCCTTCCCATTACCCAACAGAGGCTAAGGGGTGATGAAGTGCATGAAGAGGAAAGTGTTTCCCACTTCATGGCTTTGGCTTTGTAGAGCTTTGTTCTCCGAGGTCAATTAGCTAGTTCTGAAGAGATTAGCTAATTCTGAAGAGTTTCATTAAAGTGTTGCTGAAAAATCCAATGGCTTTTTGCCTTTTCCATGTTTATTTTTAGTTTCATTTGAGAAGAAAAGGCAAGTACTCCTTGTCCTCTTAACCTGTGTCAAAATACAAACTGATTCACTTTTAAAATCATTTGATGAAGGAAAAAATGAACTCAAGATTAAAAAAAATTGTCCTCAGCAGGGATCTGCACATGGGTAGGGTCCCCCCGCCCCCTCCCCCGGCTTTCTGCTTTCCTACCACACTGTGTGTCCTATAAGGCAACGTCCACTGCTCTCTGTGGAAGTCCCCTTTCCTCTAGCCCCTCTGTGCTCTGACCCTCAGTGACTAGCTTCATTTCCTCCTCTTCTGGCACTGGTTTTGCACTGGTCAGTTTGCATGACTTGGTGACTGAATGATGTCTCCTCCCTTGCCAGGATGGTGACGTGATTGGCATAAATACATTGAAGGTGACCGCGGGAATCTCCTTTGCAATTCCCTCAGATCGAATTCGACAGTTCTTGGCAGAATTCCATGAGCGCCAGTTGAAAGGTAAGGGGAGTTAGGACTTTTTCTTCCCTTCTTGTGTTTTTCAGGAGCCCTCCATCTGTTCTGGAGACTGCCATTAGGATTCTGTAGAATACTAAGTCACTGGTACCCAGCTCTTATCACGGTGGTTTGGGTGGCAATATGGGGGAACTAGGCACAAAGCCTAGTTGTGTTGTACCCAGAAGTATGTGTTATGGAGGAAAGGAAACCCATGAGCTGGAGATGGGAGATGGATGGGAGGAGTGTCCATGCTAGTGACAGAGGTTCTCTGAAGCACATTTTCAGGCTGACAGCCTGAAAGGGCAGTTATAATAATAGTAAGGATGTTCCATGACTTGCTGTTTTTTGAAGCTCTGCCAAAGGAAAGAAGCTTTGTTGTTACTAACACTCTATAACTTTCCTTTCCAGGAAAGGCTCTTTCACAGAAGAAGTATATCGGTCTGCGAATGCTGCCTCTCACTATGAAGTAAGCATGGGTTTCAGTATGTCTGCGTTGTTTTTCAGAAGCAAAAGGCATAGCTGGATGGTCTTAACAGGGAATCTAAAGCATGTGGGCTACAGCTGGCTACTCTTGTGAGTGTAGGGCCCCATTGTCACAGGGTAGGTAACTGTCTCTGCCTGCACCAATATTTGCGGTACATTTTAGTAGCTTCTTTCACTGTGGCTATATAGACCTCATAATGTCCAGTGGTTCAGGGCTTTGGTAGAGAACTGCCCCCCGCCCCCCAGGGAAGAATAACTGTGACTGGCTTGCTGGAATCTTCACTGGCCCCCCGGAGCCTTGAGTAGAACACATAAGAGTACCTATTGAGTTGGAGGCTTTGACCAGGGCTCAGGTGATGAATTCATTGTTTCTTAACCTTCTGGGCAAACTCTTCTCACTTTTCTTAGCCTTCTTCAAGAGATGAAAAGGCAAGATCCAGATTTCCCTGATGTGAGTTCTGGGGTCTTTGTGTATGAGGTGATTCAAGGAACAGTTGCTGAAAGGTAAGAGTTCAGGCCTTGGCCCAGCTAGCATGCCATGGTAAATGTGTGTTGGATCGAGATGTGCACCGTTCAGTACAGTGGCCCTACCCTCGCATGGCTGTTGAACACTGAGATGTGGCTGGTGTGACTGAGGAATGGAATCTTATTTAATTTTAGTTTATTTAAGTAAAAAAAAAAAAAACCAAAAAAAACAGAGGCACTCAATATAAAAGATTTTTCCATGAAACATACTCTTTGTTTTGGAAGGACTGCCTTTAACTTTAATCACTGTATTGTGTAAGATGTTGTATAGTAGCACAATAGGTGTGGGTTGTTTCTAGTGGATTTCAAAGACTTATATGAAACAGTCTAAAATACCCATTAATAATTTTAAAAATTACATATTAAAATGATAATACACATATTGACTTAAATAGGTATATTAAAATGAACTTCATCTATTTTTAAAAAGATTTCTAAAAATTAAGAAAGTTTTTAAAAATGTGGCTACAGGAAATTTAAAATTACGTATGTGGCCTGCCTTACATTTCTATTGGACAGTGCTGATTTGAACTTGTGTGCTTGTGTTGGAAGGACTTTTTTGGGAAGGGAATGGTTTTTTTGTAGCTCAAGAATTCATGATGAATTAATAGCGTAAGTTTAAATTAATTTTGCTAGGAATTCCCGAATTTACTTTCGATACCTTAGTTATTAAGAACAGGAAGAATTCAGAGGGCTAAAAGTTTAAGAATGAGTGAATGTTAATAAAGCAAATGCTAGAACAGCTCATCAAAGAAGTGCTCCAGCTGATTTTACTCTTGTTTTTAAACAGTTATACTAACTACTGAGGGAAGAGGTGGCTCATCCTACAATTATTCTCCTGGGTCCCTCTCTTATACTTCTTTAGTATACCTCTCTCACTACTTTTGTTTCTCAAAGCTCAATTATCTTTTTATATTATGGCAACTCTTTTAGTAGGGGGAAGAAACCATAGGGTACTAACTGTTAATAGCTAAATGTTAGGTCTGCTACTGAATTTGGCTTGTCATAGGCTTTTCTAGACTTTCTTGCTTCCTGCCCTCCCCCCACCTCTTTATTTTTATCTTTTGGTTCAAGGCCAAAGCTATTTCTTTTAGTTCTCCTAGTCCTTGCTACTCAAAATATGGCCTGTAGACCAGCAGCATTGGCATCACCTGGGGCTTTTTTAGAAATGCAGAACGAAAGGCACCTGGGTGGCTCGGTTGAGCCTCGGACTCTTGATTTAGGCTCAGGTCATGGTCTCGGGGTTGTAAGATCCAGCCCTGAGTCGGGGTACGCATTCAGTGCGGAGTCAGCTTCTTTCTCTCTCCCCCTCAGCCCCTCCCCCAATTCGTATGCTCTCTCTCAAATAAATAAATCTTAAAAAAAAAAAAGAAAAAATGCACAATGACAGGCCCCACCACTGAATCAGAATCTGCATTTTAAACAAGAGCTCCACGTGATTTGGATGAACATTAAAGTGTGGGACTACTGCTTGCTTGAAGTCACTGATAAACCAGAAATCTATTATTTCTGGCTTTATACACTTAAATCTAATAATAATTACAGTAATAACAGCTGGTACTTATTAACCACTTACTGTATGTCAGGCATCACTTAAGTATTTTACATACGTTTTTGAGCCCCCAAAGTCTTATGATACAGGCATTATTTTACAGAAACAGCAGCTGTGGTACAGAGAGGTGATTAACTTGAGAGGTACATATAAGTAGAATGCAGGGATGTGGAATCTGGCTTAGCTCGTGGATTATCCTGTTTTGTAGCTGCTCTCTTGTTTCTAAGAGGCACAGTGAGTAGCCCGAAGGTGGGTTTTCACGTTTGAAAGACCCAGGATCAAATCCTTCTTTAGTCCCTTCCAAGCTGTGGGACATGGGATAGGTTATTTATCCTAGTTGAGCCTCACTCCCTCATTTTGGTGCGTAGTTTACCTTCAGTAATAACTGGCAGGTTTCTTTCTCTTTTTCTACTCACAGAACTACAATGGATTAAGTTTCTTCTTTGTGCACAGTCCCAGTCATCCTCCTGAGCTGTCCTTGTTCTAAAGGTGTTCCATGCTTTTAGCTTTGCCCTCAAACTTCTCTTCACATCCCTTGCTTTAAATTTCTATTTTTAAAAAAAATTAATTCCACATATCTTGGTAATCCTCTCGCATCCTTCCTTTGGTTTCCCATTTCTTTAAAATGGTGTCTCCTGGAGTCATTTAATTTGATGTCCCTCTTCCAGCCCATTATTGACTTTAAGAGAAGCCATCAGCATGGCTATATATTTATTGAAGTGTTTCATATTTGGAGGTGTTTTTTGTTTCTAGAATATATATTCTATGTGAAGCAAATATATTGGAGACAGAATATAATCACAACTTTGGGGAAAAGTAGCCTAGAATCAGAGCCTTAAATATTTAGACTTGAAAGCATGACTGGTTTTGACTTACTGGAAGTAGGGCTATCAGGCTGTGGGTGGAGATGGGGCAAGTAAGTGGGCTGTCAAAACCAAACTAATCAGAGTACAACTGTATGGGGAAAAAATATATTGCTTGTGTTCTTCTTTATCTTTGCTGGTAAGACCAGGAATGTGCTTGAGGTTTACAGAGGTCAGAGATTGATAAAAATGCAAAGCTAAATTGCCTATTCCAAACCAAATCCAATATATGGGAGGAGCAAACTTTTTACATGATTCTGTTAGAAGACTGATTTTATAAAGGTTATAGGATTGCTGTCCCCAGGTGATTTCCAGGCATATCTTATAAAAGCCCGCATACCTGGAAGGATTGATACTGTTTCTGGTTTCCTGGTTTGTACGTTTAATGACAGCAAAATAGGGGCTCCTGGGTGGCTCAGTTGGTTAAGCGTCAGCCTTCGGCTCAGGTCATGATCCCCGGGTCCTGGGATCGAGTCCTCTACCTGCTCATTGCGGGGTCTGCTTTTCCCTTTGTCCCTCCCCTGCTTGTGCTCTCAAATAAATAATAAATAAATAAAATCTTAAAAAAAAAGACAGCAAAATAGTGCCATAAAAGACAGACATTAAATTCTAAATGGGGACAAGTAAAACTTATAGTTTCATGGTCCTTTTTTGCCCCCTCTCCCAGCTCTGGGTTGAGAGACCACGATGTAATTGTCAGCATAAATGGGCAACCTGTTACCACCACAACTGATGTTATTGAAGCTGTTAAGGACAATGATTCCCTTTCCATCATGGTTCGTCGAGGAAGTCAAACTTTGATCCTGACAGTCACACCTGAAATAATTAAGTATCCAGCTTTAAAGAGAAATCATCTAACAAAACCAAAGCTATATTACCTGGTTTGTACTGAAGATGTGCCAAAGTTATCAAGTTTTAGGGTCTCTTTCCTGAGAAAAATGAATGCTTTAAAACATACAGATACACACACACACACACACACACACACACACTTAGGGACCATTAGATTGGGGTACTCTACTACTGCTAAGAAGCCTTACTAAAGCAAGTGAAGGACATGGTGCCAGGAAGTCTGGGAAGCTGATAACATTTTATTTCAACACAGGAAACAACTGAAAAACAAGCACAGTTTCTAATTTAATCTAGACAGAAGGACACTTGTGGATTTTAAAACTTCTCTATAGCCACAAACTGGATTTAACACAAACGTGTGTACATACACACACACACACACACACACACACACACACACACACACACGAATAAACCTACCAAATATGAAGAAACAACCTGAATCCAAAGTGCAAAGGAAATCCAATTTTTCATTAACACTGCCTTTCTCAATCAGTTTTTGAGGTTATACCACATTTGGCCAGGGTTGGTAGATGCGGAGGATGAGCATGGTTTGTAAGTCAAATTCAAACTGACAACTGCAGATTGTCACGGAGAAATACTAGATTCTCATGATCACCCTGGCAGTGGTCTCCAAAAGCTTTCTGACTGGGAGGTTTCTTTTATAGGACAGATCCTTCAGTAACTTACAGAATTGACCTTCTTACCCATGCTCATCCTCCTGCCAACATTAGTGATTTTGAGTCTGAAAGCTGCCAAAGTGTTGGTATTTTTAAAGAAAATGCTTTTGATGGGGTTTGTGAATATCCTGAAGGAGATTTTTTTTGGCAAGTATGAGATGAGGCAGGATTTGTGGCTTAGAGTAGTATCTTATTTTCTTCGCTAAGATTTTAATTTGTTTTCCAGATTTTTCTTACAAGTTAGGATTTTTTTTTTTTTTTAAATATGGCATCTCCTTAAATTCTATGCAAAACTTTATGTGCATTTTTTCCTGGGGAGGGGGTCCGGTTTCTTTACGACCTCCAACAATTTAAAAAATACTATATACTTATAGTACAGACATTATGAGTAAGAATCTACCAATTATTACTGTTACAAACAAGGTTAAGTTCAATGTGGTACAGAATTTTCAAGACAGAATAATCTGTTTTAATTTTTACACATTCACCAGCCATTTAATAATATAAGAACAGTAATCATAATAATCAGGGATAATAAAGCTGAAACTTTTAGAAAAGCTGCTTCATAATGATAGAGCATATCCAGTGTTAATTTAACTGTGATTCTTGGTTCTTTAGGTCAACTATTAGGAGACTAACATTTGAGTAGTTCTACCTTGATTGTTTCTAGAATTTATCCCGAATATCGGGCTCTTAGTTCGACTTGTCTGTAAAGTCCTCCTTTTACTTAAATTACAAAGGATGGGAACTAAGTTTCTCCGAACTTATAATTCAGAACATTTCCTTTTATTCCCAGTGATTTGGGAATGCAAAAGCTTGGCTGTCTCTTTTTCCTGACACTGGACTCTGGTAGTCCACAGCGAGAGCTTCTGGTACCATGTTTATTTTGAACGAATGTTTTCTTTTTGCCCCCATAAATCACATCCTGACTCCACCCAATACTCAGTAATTCTGTCCTTTAAGTAAGGATCTGTTTTTTTTTCCCCCCCCAAAGGTACGAGGCTTTACAACTTATCTAACATAATTGTGAATAGTTTTATAGTCAGTTGTAGATCTTTTTTACCAGCCTACAACATAGGCTCTCTGAACTAGTAAATAATTAATTTTTAGATAGGATAACCAAGAGGATAGCTTAACCCAGACATATCTGATTATTGTTGGGCTTTCAAAATATAATTGAAATGAAGAAATTATTGTACTGCATATACTGCCTCTGGAGCATAATAATGATGTAACAATAGGGTTTATTAGTAGAATGGTTCATTTCAAATGCCTAGCTTTTAGCAAAACACAGAATTTTGAGTCTCACTTTACTTATTTTAAATAACAAACAGCATTCCAGGTTGGCAAAATTTATTCGACAATTTAAATTCAGAAAGTCAGAATTTCAGTGTGTATTAAAATCCACGGCCATTTCACTTCTGCTGAAGATTTTCACTGGTTCAGCTTCAGATCTCCTCTGCATGAAGATTCAGGGTCACAAAAGGCACAAGGCTAAAAATATTCACTTTGCTCATCTTGTTGGGTCCACTTGCTCCAAAGTATTGACGATACAGCAATGTACAGAAATACAGTATGGAAACCCCTCTGCAACTTACTAAGTTAGTCACTAGCCTTTATATTTTGTATGTGAGGAAAGGTACACACTTGATTCCCAAACACTGTTTGCTTGTCATTTCTAGTCTGCAAGGTAAAATTTGGGTTGAAAACCCAGAGTCCGAAGAAACTTCCTAACCAAACTGATTCCCTCCAGGGATGGAAAGTAATAACCAGGTCTGCTATCAAGGAAGAGTATTGAGCCTGTAGGAAGATATGCCTCTCTGGGCCATGACAACAGCTCTTTTTAGTAAACAGTGCACCAATTGCTGCCATCACTTGGCATCAGCCCTCCAGTAATAAGCAAAATAAGGTCAACAAACCACCAAATCCCAAGTCCTCCAAGTGTCAACAGCTTCCCTACTGCTGTGCCAGTGTGTCCCAGACAGAAACGGTCCACTCCGAAACATCCCAGGAAGAAGGAGTAGAGTAAAGTGGTTATGAAGTAGTGTCCCGTATATCTAGACAGAAGGAATGAGAAGGAAGATGTTTACCCCATGAAAATTAAAACACTTAGTGACTAATGAATTTAACATAAGCGAAAAGATGGTGCAGCAGTCCTTCTGTGGCCTCTTATCCTCCCCAAAAAGAAAATCTAGAATTGGCCTGGGCTCTCAAAAGAGTACTACCTAGGACATAAAGAAAGGAAAAAAATAGTTGGATTGGACAAGAAATAATCAAGCACATATGCTCTGTAGGCATCCTGGGCGGAGTAGAGTCTGGGCCCACATCCCTCCCCGACTCAGGCTCCTTTCCTGAGGCTGCACATCTGAATGCAGTTCTCTAAGGAAATGTCGTCGTCTTTCCTCAGATGAACACTGATCTCCATATACCCTCTGTTTTGTGGCAACTAAAAATGAGGTTTCTTCAATAAGGACTTAGGTCTTACATACTGCGATAACACTCCATTGCAACGGCTCCAATATTGTCACTAAACACCACAGATTCTCCATTAGCAACTGATATAAATACATTCGGTGCCTTCCAGCAAAATTTACAGAAATGACCCTAATTCTTTAAGATAAACTTATTTTCCAGAAGAGAGAGCCACACTTTTCATAAAACCTTTATTCCTCTGGGACGCCTGTGTGGCTCAGTCAGTTAAGTGTCTGCCTTCCACTCAGGTCTTGATCCCAGAGTCCTGGGATTGAGTCCCTCAGTGGGCTCCCTGCTCAGCGGGGAGCCTGCTTCTCCCTCTGCCTGCCACTCCCCACTTGTGCTCTCTGACAAATAAATAAAATCTTAAAAAAAAAAAAATAAAGCCTTTATTCCTTAAATATTAAGGCTATTTTTACAGGATTTATGTCTATCATAGGAATTTTGGAGCTAGAGCAACTGGTCCAACTCCTTTATTTTGTAGGTGAGGGACAGAGTCTCTGGGCTTCCACAGGCACTTAGCTAGTTGATGAAAGAGACATTTAGAACTAATGGCCTCTAGGATCTTAAGTCCAGTGTCCTTTCTGTTTATAACCACATCGCCCCTGTCCATGGATTATGCACAGTAGTAATCATGTTGCCCCTTTAACACTTAAGATAAAGAAAAAGTCACATCATGAGATGACAAGGAAAAGAGTTCTACCTCTATCCAAGTACCAACTACCCCATTCAAAGTAACACTTACTTTATACAAGGTTTATTTTCCCGTAGGAAGGTCCTAGGACTGGCACACTCAATCCCATCGAGGGCCCGGCACTGGACAGAAGTGTGTTCCACGTCACTGTAGGCCTGCCCACCAAACTGTGGTGTAACAACCAAAACAAAACAACCCAAACTCACCAAAGCAAGTTACACAAAATAGATCTTTATATTCATTAATAAGAGGTGACTTAGGACAATAATTATACTAACAAAGTTGGGGTAAAGCTGTGTTCAAGAGCAAGGAATTCAGTGATTCAAGTGATTTTAAATTATTCCACCCTAATTGTATGTTGTTTTAAATAAACTTTTTCTTCTTTGTGACTAGCTTCTTTAATATAGTGAAAAAATTTATAATCAGTTTCATTAAATGCCACTTAGAATAGATGTACACAATGTTTTAATTATTCTATATTTACAGGAAAGAGCACATTATTGAGCATTTGGGAATGGGTATTTAAAACGTCAATGTGTATTAGAGGTTGTCTTATATATATTACAAATGAATATAATTAGGAAAAGACCTCAGAATATCATCTGACTCAGAACTTTTCTTAGTTTGTGAATGTGTGATTATCAGATAGCTATAGTACATTTCTGTATAAGTTTAAATTTCAGCAAAAAATTTCAGAACAGGGGCGCCTGGGTGGCTCAGTCGTTAAGCATCTGCCTTTGGCTCAGGCCCTGATCCCAGGGTCCTGGGATTGAGCCCCACATCGGGCTCCCTGCTTGGCGGGAAGCCTGCTTCTCCCTCTCCCACTCCCCCTGCTTGTGTTCTCTCTCTCGCTGTCTTTCTGTCAAATAAATAAACATTAAAAAAATTTCAAAAAAAAAATTTCAGAACAGGACCTCTTACCATTTATGTAACTGAATTCTAGCAGAGAAAGCACAACTGTACATTCTCCACTGGTACCTTATTAAGTACTTCACTATTATTTTCATTGGTGCATTCCTCAAAGGAAAGGGAGTTGGAAATCATACCTCCCCTGGGATTCAGGTGCCTGAGTACTGGTCCTCTAGGACTTCTGGGGAAAGTGGCAGTTCGAGTGGCCTGACAGGATCAACTCAGTTTTTAATTATAATGGGCAAAAGTAGGGGCACCTGGCGGCTCATTTGGTTGAGCATCTGTCTCTTGATTTCGGCTCAGGTTGTGGTCTCGGGGTCATGGGATCAAGCCCTTCATCCATGCTCCACACTCAGCAGGGAGTTTGCTTGAAATTCTCTCCCTCTGCCCCCCTTCCCGCCTTGCTCTCTCTCTCAAATGAATAAATAAATCTTTAAAAAAAAAATAAAATGGGCAAAAGTAAGTGATCTCTATACAATGCTAACTCAAACCTTCAAAAGCTTCTTTGATAATTATCAACAGAACAAAATCTCATTGTATTGAAAATATATATATACTTTTTTATAAAGATTTTATTTATTTGACAGAGTGAGACACAGCGAGAGAGGGAACACAAGCAGGGGGAGGGGGAGAGGGAGAAGTAGGCTTCCCGCTGAGCAGGGAGCCTGATATGGGGCTTGATCCCAGGATCCTGGGATCATGACCTAAGCCGAAGGCAGACGCTTAATGACTGAGCCACCCAGGCGCCCCGAAAATATTTCTTTACACATGACTGCAGTAAGAGTTGCCTTTTTGGTCTTACTACTTTCAGGTTTATTCCTGTCTCTGATTTAGTACAAACCATATTTTCCCATAACTCTCTTACACCTGATTGAATCTTGAATTGCATTATGCAGCATGAGGAGGAGGTACATGAACTTCACTGGTTTTGGGAAGACTAACTGGGATGTTATTAATGGAACTGAATGGCTTTTTTCCATTCCAAGAGGCCATTGTTACCAAAGGCTTCTCCTTGACTACTATAACCTCCTACAAAGGCAGATATTAATAGACCCCGTCTATTTCCTAAGGACATGGTGGAAACCGCTTGCCTTGTGAAAAGAAAGATCATTGGCAAAAGGAGCTTTGCCCCAGATGCATGTGTAACAAAGATACAGCTCAATCCAATATTGGTTTTAGAAAGTGCATAAGCCTTTCTTTTGTTCTTTTAGGAAAGTGCACGCTTGAAGAATAATGAGGAGGTGACATAATAGCTTTAAATCAGTCAGTCTCAGCCCAAAGAACCAAAGACAGGTTGGTCTGTGCACCTGGGTAGTTTTGGGACAGACATTGCTTCTTCCTGAGGAAACGAAATGTCTTGTTCAATCACTGATGCTGTCCATGCTGGAAATTTCCAGTAAGTCATTCTAATGAAGTCTACAAATAGGTAACTTCATACCCCTTATACTTTTTTGTAACAGCATTTAGTCAGTACTATTTCTCTATGGAAGAGTTTGCTTATAAAACAAAATAAAAACCCACCTTGAGACAACCATAACCGAGTTCCTGGGATGCAGTTGCATTTCCAACATGATCCACTGGGTCGTCACATTCTATAAATTCATCAGGTCTGTAAATCACCAGTAAGATCATGACCATCATTCTCATATGGTTTTTGCAAATGGCTGTTTACGTGTATATAATAAAAACAGGCAAGAGATTTCTTCAAGTTTCTTAGGGTTTAATTCTGACGGATCCCCAAGGTAAGAGATGCTATCAGTTAGACTGAAGAACAGCAGGTCAAATAGGCATCCAAATGATCCTTTTATTGGGGAAGGGGAGTGCTTCTGGTTCTATTTCTACATGGATTCTACTTCTCCCATGGCTTTCTCCCTTTCCTAGGCAAAGAGCCACAAGGCTATGGGAGCAAAATTGAAGCTAAAGGATTCCCAGTTCTCTTTGCATTTCCCAAACGCCTTTTCTCATTGACTAAAAAGAGATGTTAAAAATGCAGAACCGTTGGTTCTGCAACGGTTAGGATACTGCAAGAAAGTGCCTTGTAGGCAAGGACAAGTAATGTACTCTATTTGTGCGTCATTAACTAGCACCTACGATGGATTCTCCTTCGTTAAAGGAAGCACGATAGAGAAGGCACAACCTCGTACCCTTCTTCCGGAGACTATATGATGTCACTCCGCCCTAGTTCTCCTCTTTTGGAATCCCAAAGGATCTACCACCGACACACAAGGTTTTCCCCTGCATGGGTGAGAGGAGTGAGAAACCTGTCATGAAATTTACCTCCCGCGTGTTGACTATCAGGTCCTCAGGTGGAGAGCGTCTGAAAAAAAAAAAAAAAGCAGCCTCCCTTCCCCCATCCCAACACCCATATATCCCTGGCCCCATCTCCAACTCCGCCTCGACGACTGGATAGCTTACAGGTAAGAGCAAAGGATGACTGGAGAGTGGGGGTCGCCATATTCCCAGCTCGGAGCGCCGGCGGAGCCCTCTGGGTGGGCGGCGCCAGCGGATGTGAGCTCGGGTTCGGCGGTAGCGTTGTGCGAGTGGCTCCGAGAGACACAGTGCAGCAGAAGTAGATTCCCCAGCAGCAAAGCCGCCTGGCCGCACAGAAGTAGGTAACTCACCGGGCAACCACCTAGCACCATCTTCCCGGGCCCAGTGGCTGAGACCCGACCTCAACCACAAAGCCGGGCCGGCACATCCGACCCAAGGAAGCCCTGCCTGGTCAGGCCTCTCCGCCGAGCCTCACTCCTCGCCACCAAGCAGCCAATGGGCGCGCAGCTCGACGCTCCGCCCAACGCCCGCAAGCCAATCAGGAAAGGCTGCGCAGGGGGGCGGGGCTGCCCTTCATTTCTGCTCCTTAATTCCGCTTCTGGGTCTCGCGCTCCACCTTCTTTTACTCCCAGTGCTTCCTCCAATCAGGTCCTTCTACGCCCAAAGTAGGCGGGCCTGGGAGCAGAGGGGGCGGGGCGTGACTGACAGTGGGCGGGGCAGCGAGTGTGAAGGGGCGGGGCAGGCTAGTGAGGGTTTTAGCGGCCGGGACAGAAATCCACTTCTCCCGCCGGCGACTGGATTTTTCTCTACGTCAGCGTAGGGAGCGCGATGTCGGGAGCGAGCTCGGACAGGAGCCGAGTTGCGTCAGTGCCGAGCGCGTGTTCGTCTCGGGCGCGCGCATCCCGGCCAGCTCTGGGGCCCCGGCAGGGCTGGGAAATGATGGAGCAGGCGGAGGCAGAGGCGACCGAGTGTTGAGTGGAACCTGCGGGATCTGCCGCGATGGGATCGGGCGCGGGCTCGCCCTTTGGGGTCCGGCTCCAGTGGCTGCTGTTGTTTGGCTTGATGGGCCCAGTTCTCGGTGGGGCTCGGCCAGGTGGGTGTCCGCCCCCCCAGGGACCTCTGAGATTTCTGTTTCCTAGGGCTGGGACGCCCCGAGTTACCCTATAGTGCCTGGGAGCGGAGGGGCCTGGCTGGCGACCGGACCTGGGGTCGGGAGGCGGAGCCGCTTCAGCTGTGTGTGGAGAGTGCTCGGACCCGAGGCTCGGGGTCTGGCGCCCCAAACCCTTCTTGGCAGTGTCCTCCTGCCCGGTCCCTTTTCCTCCGTCTCCGGCTTGGCAGAGCCTTTTGCAGTGCGCCCCACCCCCATCTCGCTCAAAACTGGGTCCCCCAGACTCTCTTGGGACTTCTCTGGGACCGACTCAGACCTTAGGGAGTCGGCTGAAAGCCTTGGAGTCTGAGTGCGCGCCGAGGGTGTGTTCTTGTTTAAACTGCTTTGAGAAATGGAGCTTGGTTTTGCTTGTGAAGTTAATGTCACTTGGAAAGAGACCGGGAGATGGAACTTTTGCTCCAGGTTATCATAATTTGAAATTTTGACGTTCATTTTAATAGCGGAGTCTCTAGTATGTCCACCGAACTAAATTTAGTGATGGAATAAAGGGGGTTTCTCATTTGTCTTGGGCCATTTTGTTGTTACAGTAAAGAGTACTTATTTTTGGAAGGGAAGTGCTATGTTTCTATAGCCAAACAGTCTTTTATCTGCATTTTTACAGGGTTCGTAATACCGTAAATCCGTAAAAATAATCCCTGCTCTGTTTAAATCACGGGATTGTGGTAAGAATTAAATCGTTTATGTGAGATTGCTTTTGAATTGTGAAACTGCCTTGAATATGTAAGGTTTTTATCCTGGAGATGCCCAAACGTAGTGGAAACAAATTGCTAACACTCTATAGCTTCTTTCTGGAAACGGCTTCGTTTATTTTGGCTTTTGCATTAAATTATTGTTTGCATGGCTCTTATTTTCTTTATTAGCCGTGAAGTATGATGGAAAATGAGGGTTTTTATTAAAGATTGCCTTGAGAGTTGCTCATAGGTGATGATGGAAGATTTCCATGTAGGACAGCTGACCTTCAGGAAACTAATTACATTTTTTTGTATCTTTTTTTTTTGCAATTAAGTTAATTTGCCTCATAGTCGGAATTTTGAAGCTCTAAATACTGAAAGTTCATTGACTGGGAGGACACCATATCTTTTCTGGTTGACACTGTTTTTGCTGTGCTTTTCATAGATGGTTAACATTTACCAATCTATAAGGTGAAGTATAGTATACATTTGGAGTTTTAGTAATCCATGATTCTCTGTTTGCAAATACAAATAAGACTCTGTTTTTAATGTTAATGTATGTATTATTGGATACTTGCATATAGGTGAATGGAAGATCCTTAGGATTTTTTTTTTTTTAATTTTAAGATTTTATTTATTTTTTTGTTATAGAGAGAGCATGAGAGAGCACGGGGGGGGGGTGGGCAGAGAGAGAGGGAGAAGCGGACTACATGCAGAGCAGGGAGCCCCAATCAGGGCTGGATCCCAGGACCCTGGGATGATGACCTGAGCTAAAGTCAGATGCTTAACAGACTGAGCCACCCACGCCGCCCTAGAATATCCTTATGGGTTTTAACCATAGCGTTAACAGTTTATGGCCAATCCTTCATTTAAGTGTGGGTATGCTTTCAAAATTTAGTCAATATTTATCGAGTTCCTGTAAAACACCTTACTTAATGCTTATGGAGGGGCATAGGGTGACCAAATGTGCAAAGTCTTTCTGGGAGATGTATAAAACCTTGGGGGAGGTTTATACTATAAGTGTTATTTGAACTCATCTACAACAGGGAATGTTCAGGTCAAAGGATATGAGTGCATTCTAAGAAAAAAGAGTTTTTGCAAGAGTGTGGAGGGATAAAAGAACATGACTTGTTAGGGAATGAAGAGAATATCTGCAGGTGGTCTACATGAAAGGGAGGCAAGGAAGAAATACCGCTGGGGAGAGCCTTCTATGCTAAGGGGTTTGTACTTTACCCTGTAAGAAGTTCTTTGGGCAACAAGATTTTTCAAATACAATATGACATAACTAGATTTGTGATTAAGTTAACTGGCAAAGCAGTGGAGGACAATACAGGAGGGAGAGACTGGAGGCTGGGAGAGACCAGTTGAGAGGCTTTTATAATAGTGAGCAGTGAGTCAACTCATGTTTCTCTAGGGGAATGTTCCTCCAAAATCAGCTGACTAAATTTTTGCAATACAGGATGTTTAAAACATTCAGTGAAACATTTTCTGTTAATGAGGAGGAATTTGAGGACTCAGTAAGTACCACCCACACATTAGTTACACTAGAAGTTGAATAGGTTTTGGTAGGATCTTCACTACCATTTATAACGCTCTGTCAATGAGGAAATGCAGTATAAATTCCAAAGGGCTGACACTTACAGTAAACTTAAAAAAAAAAAACAAAAAACAGAGGCTGACAAAGGTAACTTTATATCATTGTGAAAACATAACAAAGGAATTGGGTATGAAACCTTTTCCAGTTTTCTTTTTTAAGGTAGTAATTATGATGCAGAGCTAGAATTTTTTTTTTCTTTTTTAAAGACTAGCATTCTAAAAACATTGAGTTTTAAAGCTTACTCATGGTGAATCACTATAAAACAAACTACATAGTAAGAAAAGTCCATTCTAATTTTGTTTTGGGTGCCAGCAAATTATTTGAATTTGATATCTTTGTGTTTTTGCCGTAAAGGAGAAAGCACTCTTTTAAATTTATTTATTTATTTATTTATTTATTTATTTATTTATTTATTTATTTTTTTAAAAGATTTTATTTATTTATTTGAGAGACAGAGAGAATGAGAGAGAAAGCACATGAGATGGGGGGGAGGGTCAGAGGGAGAAGCAGACTCCCTGCTGAGCAGGGAGCGCGATGCGGGACTCGATCCAGGGACTCCAGGATCATGACCTGAGCCGAAGGCAGTCGCTTAACCAACTGAGCCACCCAGGCGCCCGCACTCTTTTAAATTTAAAGGTAGTTTTGCTTTCCAACTTTTAAGTAAAAAAGAAAACATCTATAATTGAAATATATACAAAATAAGTTGCTGGATTCCAGACAATTTTCAAAAAGCATTTTAAATTTTATCTCACCAAAGTTGACTTTATATTTGTTTTTGTTAAAAATCCTGGTTTACTATAGAGTTTCTCCGAAGGTGCAACCTCTAAGTGACTGAAAACTTTTTCCTGGAATATGCACAACCTCAGATATAATGACATAGATAGCCTCCTGATATTTTTTTCGTTTTGATATGTAGTATATCTCAGAGTCTTGGAGTTATGCTATCCTTTGAGTCAGTGCTGTAGGACTGCCTCATCAGTAGATCTAGTCCTCCTGGTATCACTTAGAATTGTACAATCTTTTTTGCATATGGAGAGATTATTCTAGTTTATTTCTCATTTTGTGACATTGTTATTTTAGTCAAATCATTTTTCTGAAGTGATCATGTGTGAGATACTGCTTGAATCAGACCTTTTAAGAATGAGTTAGGAAACCTGAGAAGCTCGCTTAATTTGGACAGTTTTTAAGTATGCAGTATGTTTTTGTATTTGTTTATGTTTATCGTAACATAAGAATTCGAGTATCTTAGTTTATAAGAAGTAAACATGATGCCACCGCCAGACATGTTATACTGTAGGACAGTATATGCGAAGTGCCTTTTTCCCATTGACACATTTTTCTTTTAATGAGATTTTTCATGGTTTAACTCGTTTTAGGAGGTTTATTCCCCCTTCCTTTTATAGTAGCTCCTTAGAACCCTTATGCAAGTAGACCCCTGGAGAGCTGCTCCATTGGTTTCACTGGTACATTAGAATCCTTTGTGAGTAGAAGCTGGGATCCCAGCTACCCGAGAGGGGTGGCTAAGCAGCCTATAGCAGAGCCATACAATGAAATAGAGCATTCACGTTAAAATGACAAATGTGTGGACCACATGGATTTCTGGAGAGTTGGCATAAAAGATATTAATGATGAAAATAAAGCTTAATTCAGGTTGTACATGGTGATTAACAGTTAGGAGATCTACTACGAATGGCCGTAAAGATAAGAAGTCATTTACTCAACACGTAGTCATCGAATACTTACTGTACCAGAGCAGGAAACACATGATGCATAAATTATATTGTCCTTATAAGGTATCGTCCTTTGTCTCAAGAAACTGACATTCCTTGCTAGAGGAACTTAAGTTCTCGAGGGCATTAACTCTTATAAGTGGTTGTTGGTTTTCCCATAGGGCACTTAAAAACAAACAACAGCAAAAGCTCTGTTTCTTTTTAAATGTGAAGATGGGTAACTGTAAAAAAAAATTATAACACTCAAAAAATGTAAGAAGGTAGGACAGCAATTGAGATTATAAATATTTTTGAATATAGTTATTAATA